ACGGATCATAACCGGAAATTTTCCTCAATACCTACTCCCAATAACCGGAAAACGAAAATTATTCAAAATTAAACCATAGATAACCAGTAATACTTTACCACACTGAAACAACATAACCAGATGAACCAAGTAAAAGAGGAAACAGAGGAGATAAATTCTTACGGAGTGGGGAAGGTGAGGAAGCCGCATACTCCGGCGGCCGGAAGAACCAGTGTAGCCACCACCACCGTCACTTGACTTGTTACACGGCGGTGCATAGATGTTGTACTGATCGATGTTACCAAACTCCTGCTCCATAGCGTAAGAATAAAGGGTTTCACATTCATCAGATTCCTTCTGGCGACTAAAATCGCAAGTGTTTATTAACTGATGATACGTCCGATCAGAGATCATCGCGTGGCTCCACCAATACGACACCGTTCCCAGGTTATCATAGTGATTGTCCGTCACCGCGTTTCCAACCTATTAAACGCAGCGGTTTCAAACGCGGAATTTCGAAATTTTTTGGTAATGGAAACAGAGGATTTTGATTTCTTAATTATTACCATGATTCCTTTGAGATTTAACGGATTCTTTGATCGTTTGTTGTAATTCATGATCTCTTTGGCGAGCTGAGGAACGTAATGTCCGGCGTAACTCTCGCCGGTGATGTAGATTTCTCGGTTGTTGTATCTCGGAAACCGGTGAAGCCATTGAATAAGAAACTGAAGTGAATCTTTGGCTGCAAAACAGAGAAACAGAGTCTCAATAACCGAAACCCGGTTAACCTAAACCGTAGAGGGAGTTGGTTTAATTTAAAATTACCGGTACGACGATCACCGGTGTTGAAGAGATCGGAGGAGCGGTTAGTGTAAGAGAAGCCAACGCCGGCGGGAGCTTCGAGGAACAAGAGATTGGAGATTGAGTTCCAAGGGAACTTGTTGAGATACAAACCGGAACCACCTTTGCTTATCCTGAATGGTCCAATTTCCTCCGACGCACCGTACGCTACCGACGAACATCCCGGTCCTAATAATAATTAAATGTAAATTTAAATTAGAGTTCAATAATTATTTTTCATGATTAACACTAATAATTAAGAAGGAGAGTTGGAATAGAATGATAGAGTTTTATAGGTGTTGAGTAATTTACCCCCAAAAAAAAAAAAAATTGATAGAAGTTGAATTTAAGTGAACAAAAAGAGACCAAAAGTTAGTTGTGTATTTAATAGCGACTCAATGTCAGTTTGAAAATTGCATTTAATGATATAACTTTTTTCAGCAATTACAAGATAATTTTGTCTATATCATACGTATCTAACAAGAAAATACAGCGATCTATTGAATGCATGCATAATAAACTAAGCATTACGATATCATATTATACATGTATATAATATATATAGATGTCGCATTATTGCAATGACAAGCTGTATAATCTAGACAAAACATCGTATATATACATGATAAAAAAAAGTTAAGTATTTTATACTCGATATTATTTGAGAAATATGGGCTCAAATAAATGGTGAGTCTCCATTAGTAGTTAGGGCATTATTCCCATGCCTAAGTAGGCCAAACCAAAAAATAGAAAACTGAAAAAAAAAAAAAAAAAAAAAAAAATTGATAGATAAGTCCTGTTTCATGGATAAAGAGTGGTTTATAAATAACTAAAAACATTTACAAACGAATTTATGGCAAACCCATTCAAGAAGTGTGACAGAGATTAGTTGGTTAGCTAAAATAGATCTAGCGAAATTTATAATGTTGTTGAGTAAATAAATCAGTTTCCAAAAAAAGCTAATAATCACAAAAAGAATGTGTATAAAAAATGAAAACAAATGTTTGGTAAAAATTAACCTCCGTTAAGCCAAATTACGAGAGGTTTGGAGAGAGGGAGGTCAGAAGCTTCGGTGAGCCAGTAAAAGAGTGATCTTCCGGAAAGTTTATCGACGGTGACATAGCCGGAAAACTGCTCGAACGTGACGTTAGGCTGACCTGGAAGTGACGTTATTCGGTCAGCCTCTGCTTCTTTCTCTCCTCCTGTTGGAATTCTTCCTTGAGATGTCATTACAAGTATGGCCATTAGAGTGGTGAAAATTACGTGTTTTGCCATTGCCATGGCCAGAAAGAAGGAGAAAAGGAAATCTAGAGAGTGTCGGAGACTTTTGAGATTGGCTTCTACAGTTCTACCTTTAGCTTGTCTTAAATAGAGAGAGAGAGACGAAATGAGGATAATATTTAAATGACATTGAAATATTTTATAATAATAAAAATATATAAAGTTTGGAAACAAATTAAGTTATTCAGTATTATATTAACTCCAAGATAATGGAAAGGTAACTAAAATTTTAAAGCTGGAAAAATAATTGTTTTGGCAGTTTGATTAGTACAATTGACTAAAAAACTTATATCCTAACTCTAATGTAATACCAATTTGCATAGTTTGTACTTTGTACTTCGCAGCAATATGTTATCAAACGGCATAAAACCATGACATGGACACTTGGGGTTTAAGTGCTATGTTTCTTATGCTAATGCTAATGTGGGCTAGAATAATCAGATATTAATATCTTTAATTATTAGGTTGGAGACTTGGAGTTCTCTCTTTTCTTGGCGTAGGTTTGCGTCTATCTTTCTGAAAAAATGGGTGATGGTAAAAAATGGCCCACCAATAGTATCAGTGACAGTAACTTTATGAATATGGAAGAAGATACAATGATGACTTCAATGACACCACCAGCTTGTAATAGTAAATACGTTATTTGATATGACAGAGCATTAAATCAATCGTGTGTGTCCATATATACATACACCACATGCATGTACACATACAAACAACAAAAACTCCAAGAAATGTGTGGTCAAGTGTGTTAAAACGATATGATAGAAATACTAAATTGATAATTTCCAAAAAGTAACTTAAAGTAGGTAAAGCATATAAGCTACATAGGTCATAACATTTGCACCAGCATTTGTCTTGTGATATGAACTAGATGCCTTCGCCTTGGATTACCAGATAGCTGATACTTGGATAGTAATTCAGAAACTGATGGTGGTCTTAATCCATAGAGTTTATGGCATTTGTAAAGTGTGTGTATTTCTCCTAAGGCATGCAAATTGGTCTCTGAACAAGTCTTTGGGCATTTTATGTTGCCACACAAAAGCAAGGTTTTCCATTGAACCTAAAATTGGAATTACACTATCCAATTATCTCAACATGACTTGAATTCTGAAAGATTACATTGATGGCCTTAGAAATATTGAGAGATTGTTATCTTTAAAATCCAACTGAATTGAAGGGGAAAAAAGAGACAAACTTTACTTTCTTTAACACTTCGATGCTTATCCACTTTAATTAAATATCATCACCACTCCAAACATCAGAGTTAAACATGACTTTTTACAATCTTTTAGTGAATAAATATTACATAATTAAACATAAAAAATGTATAAAACTGGTTTTTTATAAATAGTTGGACCCATGCACGAAATTGATGTCTCGATGTTACAGGAAAAACTAAAAAGCATTCTCTCTTTTCTACTGATAAAATACCTACAACTTTGACCATCTTTTCATAGGCCATTACAATAAATTCCTCCATTTGTATACATTTTTTCTCTTCCAAGTATATGATACACTCAATCCTTCTATCATATATATCTTGTGAATAAAATAATCAGATGTAGATTTATTTCACATTACGGTACTTTTTGACTTCGACAAGTATGAATAGTTGTATATAGAAAATTCATAATTCTATTCTATATATATTCTTTTTTTCTTTTTAGTTAGTCGTTTTATAATGTTTACAATATGAATTACAATAGGTTTATTTATTTGAAAACACTGAAGAAAAATGACAAAACTAAACTAAACGAGCCGAAAGTTGTTTTTTTTTTCTTTATACAGTTCTGTGTATTCAAGTTTTAATTTCTAATAAAGGGTTTGCAATTATGTGTATTCAAGTTTTCTAATGTCGATTTGATAATTTAAACCTAACTTCTAGTAGAAATTAAACAAGCGCATTTAAGTATGCACCTTTATTGACGACTACATAACCCATTAATGTAATTTATGAATGCTATATCGATTTTTACGTACACGCGAAGTTACTGGAGAAGAAGCCATTAATGCGTCACCATGTACACTGCTTCGCCTCGTATCAATGATATATGCTCTTTTGGATTTATACAGTTTTCTGAATGAAATATATCTATTCATTTTAAGTTATATGATACGAATATTCAATAAAAGCTATATAAATATCACTATATCAGTAAAACAACTTATATCATCATTTTCTGTTTTTCTTGCTATTTTTTCTTTTTAAAATCGTGATTTATTTTTTTGCTTATTTCGCGTTTGTGTTGTGTCTATTAAGTAAAGCCTTTTTTGGGAAAAAAACTGACAATTGCTTTAGAAGATTCTATTTCCGTGCTTAGCAATATTTTTTTTACTTTCAACAAATTGGCTTAAAGTATCTCCAACGTTGTAAAGGAAAAAAAGATTTTAAAGTAAACTATGGTATTTAAGGAAGCACAGGAGTAGTAGTTGGCAAATGAGATAGATATTAAAGTTACATAATAATGACTCTTTTCGTATCTTTTTTTTTAAATACAGATCATTGTTTAAAATGTAAAAAAAGAAAACAGAGTAAGGAAGCAGTGAGGTCGAATAGTGTTAAGGTCATATCAAGAAACTTTGCTTACGCATATTTTTGTCCAACAGATTCATCAGACTTTGTGTGTCAGTCCTTTCTTCCTTGTTCCATTTCTCTTTCTGTGACGTTTTTAAGGACACGAAGCGGTGAATCTCTGCTTCCCTCACGTGCCGTTTACAGTCGCTTATGTCACCGTCCAATCATACGTCGCTGTTCCTTCAACCCACCCTCTCTGTCATCTTCTTGGCCGCAATACTTGATCGACACCTCTATTGGGCCTGGCCCATTTTAAACCATGTCTAAGACTTCTAAACAGACTTTAGATAATATAAAAATCCGACCGTTGTGACCCCAATTTCCACTAACGGTAATGTTCTTAGCCAATCACATACATATAAATTAAACTTACTCCCAAATCCGTCGTCACACTCAACTCTATCTCTTTCTCTAATGGAGTCGCAACAATCGAATCTTGAAACACCTCTCAAAATCCAACCCGACCACCAAGAAATCACTACTTTGAACCCTCTATCGCCACCACAACCGCTCCCGGAATCCTGCCGGAATCATGATTCTCCTCCTCCTCGAGCATCAACCAACGAGCCAATGAAGAAAATCGGAACTCCGGATCGTTTAAGAGTCCCTATAGCTTTCAAGCACCCAGAGAGGTAATTCGGTTATCTGAAATAACCGGTTTGAACAATAAAATTTGGTAAAGAAACATGAATTTGTAAAATTTTCTTTCCTTTTCTCAGGTACAGAAGCCCAACTGATGCAATGATGTCTCCAGTTACTAAAGGTCTTCTCGCAAGGACCAGAAAAGCTTCTGGTTCTCTTATTCCACCCAGCTTTAACCAAACCAAGGTCAATTTCATTATACCAAAATCAAAACCGGTTGTATTTATCTCTGGTTTAAAAATTTACTAACATTTAAACAAATAATTTCAGATTCAAGAACTACGCAAACCGGAATCCGGTTTATCATCTCTCAGTTGCTGAAGAAGACATTCTGAATTTGTGGCTTGAACCAAATAATTTTTTGCATGTATTCTTGGATAATGTATTTCTCGCCTATAATAAAAGAAATTGATTAATTACTCTTGTCTTGTTTTTCTGTTTTGTTAAGATTAAACCGTGGAATAAAAACGGATAGTTAACTCTGTTCTTTTTTCTAAACTTACAAATTATTTGACAACTCTAGTGAGCTGAAATTGTTTCTTTATTTGTTGAATTATCTGGCTAAAAATAGAGGGGAGCTAGTATTAACAGATTAAACTTTGATTAGTCATCTACTTATCTTGAACAACACATTTCATTACAATTGAATTAAGTTCTGGTCTTAATCTCGTTACAAACTTTATTCAATTGCAACTAATCCCTTAGTTTAGTTCATAAATCGTTCCCGCTTAGATAACTAGCAATCTTAGCTAACTAACAACGAACAAACAAAAAAAAACTTCATTGAGACTTTTTTTGTTATTCTTGTTTATTTTGAATACATCGTATAAATAAACAAACCCTTATAAGTTTCTGTTTAAATCTTCTTCACAATCTCAGGTGTGATTCATCTCTACAAATTATCAATCATTTCTACAATCAGACAAAAACAGAGCGCTCTGTTTTTTTCTTCTTCTTAATCACTCAATGGAAACAGAAACCGAAAACAAAGAACATCAATGGAAGAATTCGATGTCTTCAAGGTCATCTTCACGATCTTCATCCATAACATCTGCTTCTTCGGATGGCCACTTTGATATCCGACACTTTCCTCTTCCTAAGCCATCATTGTCTGCTTCTGAGGCACAGAAACTGAGAGAGTCACATCAGGCCTATAATTCATCCGTTAGCTCTTATACCAGTTCGTCTTGGTCCTCAAATCACCAGAACCACCTCGTTGATTTACCCGGTTACGATCCATCCCGAATTCCATCTTCGGTTTTCTCTAGTAAACCGGGTAATTCGACGGAATGGAGTCTAGCTTCTAATGAATCTTTGTTTAGCATCCACGATGGGAATTTTAGCATTTCAACAGCATTGAGATTGGCTGAGATACCGAAATTTGAAGAAACGGTTCACGAAATAACCGAAATCAACACGGTTCCTCTTCCTCCTCCTTTACCTCCGGTTAAAAAACCAAATGAATCTGAGGAAGAGACGATTTTAGAGGAGGAACCATACCAGGTGGAGAATTTAGACTCTGAGATTGACGATAATGAAGAAGAAGAAGAGAAGATGAGTGAAGTCGAGAGCGACGATGAACATGAAGATATGATCGAAGCAGAGGTTTTAGTAGAGAAAGAAGTAATAGAAACTCTGAAGGAGAATAAACCAGAAGACTCGAACAGTATAGTTTCACATTCCCCGAGCATTTCTTGTCGTTCGGACACCAGCAATAACAGCATAGGTTCTTTCGCATTCCCACTGTAAGTTGTTTTCTTCAAATCTCTATTTATCGATCCTTTTTTGATGATTTCTTGGGCAAGAAGAAACATTAAAACCCTAATTTACTTTCTTTGGAATTCATGTAACAGATTGCAAAAAGAAGACGCAGTTATCAAAACGCCGTCTATGCTAATCAAAGGAAACGTTTCCCACAAGCGAAGACCCGAGTATCAGCTGCCTCAGAAGCGAATGCTACCGCCACAACAGCAACTGCAACCTTATTCAGAATCTAGTATGCTAACTGAGTCTGAGTCGGAATCAATCCAACAAAGTAAGGCATCGAAAAAATTCGAGTCTCGAACGCAATCGCTAAAAGCTTCAAGAACATGCTGGTTCTCTTGCTTCCATTGTCCTTCAAAATGCGGTATATTCAAGTAGAGGAGGCTTTAGCGTTTGCGTTTGAAGCTATTCTTCTTCTTATGTGTACATTGTACGGATGAAAATAGTTGTAAACTAAACTAAGAGTGATGATCCAAATCGAGTTCCAGTATTTAGGATTGAAACCACATTTTGGTTCGATTAAATTCGGTTACCGAATGTTGTAAACTGATGGGTGATATAACTCTTATGTCATGGTGATGCATACATATAAGGACCACATTTCATTGTTACTTTATCTCAATACTTATTATTATAAGTATTAGCTAAAAGACAGATATAATTCACTAAAAGAAAAACAAACTTTTTCTTCTTCTGATTATTCACTCTTTATAAACTAACTCTTTTTATGCCCATAAATGTGGCTAATGTGTTGGGTACATGACAAAATTATAAATTCATATTTAAGAACAAACATTTAGATTTGCTTTATCTTGAAGCTTCCTTTAGTTATATATCCTTGAAAAGAGGCGATTCTGTCCCTTGTTCACTTTACAATTTCTCAATATTTTTTGTTATAAAGAAACACATCTTTGTCACATGCATTTATGAAAAATTGGCAGGATAATCTTTTTAGCGTCAGATTGTGAAGTTTTCTTACAAGTAAGTTTGAATATATTTATATATATACATGTCCATATACATATATCTATCTGTAATAAATGTTAGCTTCAAGATCTTAGCATAACATTGGTCGATGAGAGATTGATACGTCTATGAGAGTTGAAATATTGTTACATTTATTGTGACTCAACATATTTTATTTCATTACTTCGATTAAACAAAAAACAAAAAATAATGTGACCTCAAATTTAGTGATAAGATAATCTTGCATCTACCTACTGTTATCAATCATGTACCTATTGCGATTTGATGCGATGAGACTACAATGTTAAAAACTTTTAATGTTACTAATTAACTTTAAAAACTCTTTATCGATAAATAATCAAAAAATGCTTCTTCGAAGCTAATATTATTACAAAAAAGAGTTTGCTAGCCAATAGGAAATAAGTAAAATGGGCCCACTCCTTCATTCACATTTCACAGAACGATTTTTTTTATTTTCTGCATAAATTAAATTAAAAAACATTTAAGATATTTTTAACAAAAAAAAAAAAAAGAGAGAAGAAAAAAAACGCGTCTTCCTCAGTGACAGTGTTGAATTCTCTCATCTCTTTCTTTCTCTCTCCTCTTTTTTTTTTTGGATTTTATCTCTCTTTCTCTCTCTCTGCTTCATCAGTTTCTCTCACTAAAAAAGCTTCTCATCATCCCCCTAAATTAGGGTTAAAGGGTCGAGCTTGGGATTGTTTCGCACGGTAAAAGGAAGGATCTTTTGCTCGTCAATTGCTAAATTAGCAGACTTTGCGAGGTGGGTTTAGGGTTTTGTGTAAAAACATTTTTGGGGATACGTTACGAAGATGACTTCTTTGCCTTCTTCAGTGATCAAATGGCGTTTTTTCCGCAGACAGATGCCTTCAGACGTTGTCTTCTCGCTCTGCTTACTCTGTTTTGCTACCTGTCTCGCCGGGAAAATCACTGTTTTAGCTGATTCGGATAAATCGGTGTTGCTTCGGTTTAAGAAAACGGTATCGGACCCTGGTTCGATTCTCGCTAGCTGGGTCGAGGAGAGCAAAGATTACTGTTCCTGGTTTGGTGTATCTTGTGATTCGACCTCACGAGTCATGGCTCTTAACATTAGTGGCTCTGGAAGCGATAAAGGGAGTTCTCAAATTAGTCGAAATCGTTTCACTTGTGGTGATATTGGTAAGTTTCCGTTGTATGGGTTTGGTATTCGGAGGGATTGCGCCGGAAATCATGGAGCTTTGGCGGGGAATTTGCCTTCTGTAATCATGGGTCTAACAGAACTTAGGGTTTTGTCTCTGCCCTTCAATTCGTTTAGTGGAGAGATTCCTGTAGGAATCTGGGGAATGGAGAAGCTGGAAGTTCTTGATCTGGAAGGGAATTTGATGACCGGGTCGTTGCCGGATCAGTTTACTGGGTTACGGAATTTGCGGGTTATGAATTTAGGGTTTAACCGAGTTTCAGGTGAAATCCCTAATTCGCTGAAGAATCTGTCAAAGTTGGAGATTTTGAATTTGGGTGGTAATAAGTTGAATGGAACTGTTCCTGGTTTTGTTGGGAGATTCAGAGTGGTTCACTTGCCGTTAAACTGGCTTCAAGGCTCTTTGCCTAAAGATATTGGGGATAGCTGTGGAACGCTTGAGCATTTAGATTTGTCTGGTAATTTCTTGACTGGGAGGATTCCAGAGAGTTTGGGGAAATGTGGCGGTTTAAGGTCGTTGTTGTTGTATATGAATACGTTGGAGGAGACTATCCCTTTAGAATTTGGGAATCTTCAGAAGCTTGAGGTTTTGGATGTTTCTAGGAACACTCTTAGTGGTCCATTACCTGTTGAACTCGGGAATTGCTCTTCCTTGTCTGTTCTCGTGTTATCGAATTTGTACAATGTGTATGAAGACATTAATAGTATAAGAGGGGAAGCTGATTTACCTCCAGGCGCTGATTTAACCTCGATGACCGAGGATTTCAATTTCTATCAAGGAGGAATTCCGGAGGAAATCACTAGGCTTCCGAAACTAAAGATACTGTGGGTGCCAAGAGCTACGTTAGAAGGGAGATTTCCAGGAGATTGGGGTTCATGTCAAAACTTGGAGATGGTTAATTTGGGTCAGAACTTCTTTAAAGGTGAAATTCCTGTAGGTCTTAGTAACTGTAAGAACCTTCGTCTTCTTGATTTGAGCTCGAATAGGTTGACGGGAGAGCTTCTCAAAGAGATTTCGGTCCCATGCATGAGTGTTTTTGATGTTGGTGGAAACAGCTTATCGGGTGTAATCCCTGAGTTTCTCAAAAATACCACAAGCCATTGTCCTCCTGTTGTTTACTTTGACAGGTTTTCTATTGAATCTTACAGCGACCCGTCGTCTGTTTATCTCTCCTTCTTCACCGAGAAGGCTCAAGTTGGAACTTCCTTGATAGATCTTGGAGGTGATGGAAGTCCGGCCGTGTTTCATAATTTTGCAGACAACAACTTCACTGGTACTCTCAAGTCTATACCACTTGCACAGGAGCGGTTGGGAAAGCGAGTCTCTTACATATTTTCTGCTGGAGGGAACCGGTTATACGGGCAATTCCCTGGAAATCTGTTTGATAACTGCGACGAACTCAAAGCTGTTTATGTCAATGTAAGCTTCAACAAGCTCTCAGGTCGGATTCCTCAGGGACTAAACAACATGTGCACTTCTCTTAAGGTTCTTGATGCCTCGTTGAATCAGATCTTCGGGCCAATCCCATCGAGTCTTGGGGATCTAGGTTCGCTTGTTGCTCTTAATCTGAGCTGGAATCAGTTGCAAGGTCAGATTCCGGGTAGCCTTGGGAAGAAGATGACAGCTTTGACATATCTTTCGATTGCGAATAATAACCTCACGGGGCAAATACCTCAGAGCTTTGCTCAGTTACATTCCTTGGATGTTCTTGATCTCTCTTCAAATTATCTATCTGGCGGCATTCCTCATGATTTCATAAACTTGAAGAATCTCACTGTCCTGCTTCTCAACAATAACAACCTCTCTGGCCCAATCCCATCTGGTTTCGCGACATTTGCGGTTTTCAATGTTTCCTCCAACAATTTGTCAGGTCCAGTTCCTTTAACCAACGGACTGACGAAATGCAGCACTATTCGTGGAAACCCCTATCTTCGACCTTGCCATGTGTTTTCTCTGACGACTCCGTCTTCGGAATCCCGAGACTCCACAGGAGATTCTATCACACAGGATTACGCATCTTCGCCTGTTGAAAACGCTCCATCTCAGTCGGCAGGAAAGGGCGGATTCAACTCGCTAGAGATTGCTTCAATCGCATCAGCTTCAGCAATTGTCTCGGTTCTGATCGCTCTTGTGATTCTCTTCTTCTACACGAGAAAATGGCATCCGAAATCAAAGATCATGGCCACTACAAAACGTGAAGTCACTATGTTTATGGACATCGGAGTTCCAATAACCTTTGACAACGTGGTTAGAGCCACAGGAAATTTCAATGCGAGCAATCTGATTGGAAACGGTGGATTTGGAGCGACCTACAAAGCAGAAATCTCTCAAGATGTGGTTGTGGCAATCAAACGCCTCTCGATCGGACGGTTTCAGGGAGTCCAACAGTTCCACGCAGAGATCAAAACTCTTGGTAGACTGCGACACCCGAACCTAGTGACTCTCATTGGTTACCACGCTAGCGAAACGGAGATGTTCCTGGTTTACAACTATCTCCCAGGAGGTAACCTCGAGAAATTCATCCAAGAAAGATCGACAAGAGATTGGAGAGTTCTTCACAAGATCGCCCTGGATATAGCTCGAGCACTCGCTTACCTCCATGACCAATGTGTCCCACGGGTGCTTCACCGAGATGTTAAACCAAGCAACATCCTCCTAGATGATGATTGCAATGCATATTTATCAGATTTCGGGTTAGCAAGATTGCTTGGGACATCGGAAACGCACGCAACAACAGGTGTGGCGGGTACGTTTGGGTATGTAGCGCCTGAGTACGCCATGACTTGCCGGGTATCGGACAAAGCGGATGTTTACAGCTACGGAGTGGTGCTTCTAGAGCTGCTATCGGACAAGAAAGCGCTAGATCCATCGTTTGTGTCGTATGGTAACGGATTCAACATTGTGCAATGGGCTTGTATGCTGTTGAGACAAGGACGGGCAAAGGAGTTTTTCACAGCGGGATTGTGGGATGCGGGTCCGCATGATGATCTAGTAGAGGTTCTGCATTTAGCGGTAGTTTGTACGGTGGATTCTCTATCAACGAGGCCGACGATGAAGCAAGTTGTAAGACGGTTAAAGCAGCTCCAGCCTCCGTCGTGTTAGCACCTCCCTCCGCAGGATTTGATTATTATTCTTTCTTAAAAAAAAGGTTTATTTTGCTCTCAGTTGTAAACTTGTTTGTGTAGTAGTGGTTAGAAGAAGATGAAAGAGAGGTTAATATTTCCTATGGGTTCTCTTGAGGGTAAAAAGGACATTTTAAGGGGGAAGCCATAGGAAGGTTGATCTCTCAGGAAGCAGAACACACAAATATGAGAAAGAATTTGTTGTAGCTAATTTGTTTCTCCCACTTGTAAATTGTTTTATATAGAGAGTTTTGTGGGGTTCTTTTTCTTTATTATTGTTTTCAAAAAAAATTTATGTGTATGTTCTTCCTTTTTCTTTGATTGACATTTCCATTTTGAGAAACGGGCCCGAGAAAGTTCGAGTTAAGGCCCAATAGTAAAGGCGAATAAAAGAAGATGCAGGCCCATTTGGAAGACCATCCGGATATTATCTATCCGCTTGTGAACAAGAGCAAACCCTAAATCGCGATCATGCTGAATCTGACATCTGTCGTTGCGCAGGTAACTCTCTGATTGTTATGAATAATCAATCATCTTTCGGACAAGAAAGCAGCTCCACCCATCGGTCTGAGTTTAATCATCAGTGGTTTGCTTTCATGCTTTGGTTGACATCTTCATTTTTCTTTAAAGGTAGGGATATGAAAAAGTCATGGTTCTTCCATGTATCTGGTATCGAATAGAGCGGCTCTCGCTACTACATGTTCGCTACTACATGTACATGTAGACCCTTTCTTTCATAAAGAGTTAATGCCAGGCGTATTGCTCCATAATGAAGGTGATGTGAATATAGCCGTGGGCTCTCCATTGGTGTGTTACTAAACATGACCGTTATCAATCATATATATATATAGCACCCCTCTTGGGTCTTGGCTCACTGATCGCATTAGTTATGAAGCAGTCGTCTCGGATCCACCATGAGACATAAAGTCCGCGAGAAAATAGTTCTCCTACCATGGTCTTTTCTCATTATCTCCTGACTAACTCGTAGTGATATCTCTATTGGTATTCAATGAATCTTTCTAACGTCAAAGAAAAAAAACATCTGTTTAACTAAGATTAAATACTTAACTAAAATAATATCATAATAAATTGAAATCAAATGTACATGCTTCAGCTTGGTCACGTCAAATTATTTTGACATCGTTACACTTTGAAAATTGTGAAGAAATAAACTGAGACCTCTAATAATAGTTGGGGATAAATAAATAATCCCTAGATCGAATATGAACTACATGGAAGAAGAAGGAAGTTTAACAACAATATGTCTAAGAGGGTTAATCATAACATCACCACCACCGTCGTCGCTGACGGTACCTCCGCCGTGCCTAACAAATTCCGCCGGAGAAAGAAAACTGCCGTGGCAAACACAGACTATCTTGACCTCCTCCTTTTTCCCTCCGTACCAATAAAGAAACCCTTCCACTCGTTTCCCGTCGGCTCCGACATCTCTCGTCGACACACAAGGCATGTCTTCTAGAATGTTCCTCGCCTTCTCCATTCCTGAAACTTCCACATTCTTCTTCTTCTTCGCCGTATTACCATTTCTATTGACCGGACTAGTGACAACAACCCGATCTTTATCTTCCTTTCCCTCCTTGGTATGAGGAATCTTAAATTCCAGAAATGCCCTCGCCTTCTCTGTTTCGGCGACTTGGCCTCTGTTTTTATCTTCTGTCAGATATGTTCCTCTGTTTGTAACCGGAAATTCCATAAATGCCCTCGTCTTCTCCGGTCGTTTCCTTTTCCTCTCCGTCTCCTTCTCTCTCTCGATCTCCGTTACGACAGGCAGAGAACGCGTCCGATCCAGCTGGAACATGTCCGAGCCTCCACCGGATCTTTGTTCATCGAAGAAAAAACCTTCCGGTATCGAAGAAGATCGACCGAGATCAAAGTTCTTCCTTTTCCTCGACCTCGGATCCGTACCAAACTGTCCATTAAGCGAAAGACCTAACGTTAGCTCCACGTCTTTCTCATCCTCTTCTGCTTCATCTTCTTTATTCTTCGCTTCTTCTCGATTCTCACCATGCTCAGAGTCTCTCTGACAAAAATGGTTGCTTGCGATGAAAAACTTCTGCAAGAGATTATTAGCAGAAAGATTCGGTACTTGAACGACGCCGTTTGGGATTCCCCTGCCTCTTATCATCTCCATAACCAAAAATATCGAAGTCAGAGAAATTCGAAAGAGAAGGGAGAAACGTTTTAGGCTGAACTTTCTATTTCAATCTTGAGAGAGACGAAACAATTTTTTCTTAAAACAAGCACCAAATTGCTTACTATTATAAACTATAGTACTTCAATTTGCATTATTTTATATATTCCAAGAAAAAATAAAGAAAATCATGTTTTTGAATTATATTATAAGCATAGTTGACGATATTGTACGGATTTTACTTTACTTTAGTTGATATTTTCACACAAGTTGGCTTAAAATACACATAATTTCCAGTTAATATACCAATTTGCATTAATATAATCAATGAAAATAGATAGTGATTTCTCGTTGACAGACACAAAATATAGGAATTATTCGGATTATCTTCTTGAAAACTTTATAATATTAATATATGATTTTTTAATAGGAAAAGATAGACGACCACCCACCACGCCACGTGTAAAAGGGCATCAAGTGGCGTAGACGGAGGCTACTTTGTTCATCTACAACATGACACGTGTCTAATTATCAACGTGCTCAACTACGACAGTCACTTTATTGCCACGTGTATCCAGCCTGACTGGGCCCCCGACAAGGCAAACCAAAGAAATACGTTAAACATTTTTTTTATATATCTAACATTTCTACACGCCTTTTTTTTGATAACCCAGTATCCAGACCACACAGTGATCTGACTAGTCCACTGGGCCTAAGCCCGCGTCACAGGGATTTTTAAGCCTCCACTTAAGGGCCCCCTGATAAACTGGTGGTCTGGGGCGCCTGAGCAAGTCCGCATGTAAATTCCCAGGTGGCCACAGGAGTGAGAGAGCGAAACTGCGTCTGGGGAGGATCGATCCCTGGCCTAGACCAACATGGCGATCCTTCCAACCAAACGAGAACCACTCGCCCACCACCATGTGGTTCATTTCTACGCGCCTTGTGAACTTGTGTTCTAACTCCTAACTTCAAGTTCTAACAATACTTAAAAGGTAAGAGTTCAATATTGGTTATTAAAAATGTGCTAATTTCTAATCAATTTTTTGTGGTAAGAATTTTTTTTTGTTAAATTGTTGTTACACAATTTTTATAAAATTCATGCAGAAGGTGGAGAGGAAGGAATGAATGAATTGGAGGATCTCCTAAAGAGACGCAAACAATCAAAGAGGAGATCGAGAAGTGGGACACGCATAGTGGCCAACTTGTAGTATTGATTTCTTTTTTAGTTTGTTTGAAGAAATGTTCTGATTCAAATCTATTTTACCCTAAAAAGGTGATAAGATTAGTGACACGTTTCGCTTCTAGAATACACCACGTCTCACTTTATTCATTGCTTCACGACAACATGTAGCCAAGTTGCAGTGTGACATTATCAATCACATTTAAGCATTTAGTCAACCTGGCTTCGGTTTATTTTTGGTTTACAAAAACTTCTCTACAAGAGCTAAATAAAGCATATGAACTTTGATCCATTGGGCTTTTCTTTCATCACAGTTGGCCCATCTACATTTCTTTTGTTGGCCCAAGATTGTGATCCAGGACAGTAAGACAAAGTTAAAGTATAGTTTTTGCTTACTGCCTAGCTATGGCCATCTAACACATATATGTTGGGTTACTATCTCTAGTAGTATCTACCATATGGACTGAGCATAGGGATTGGTGTTTGGGATAGGAACAGTGCATAGAAAAAGTGTAGTGTATAAGACAACAGATAGACTGATAGATCAGAGTAGTTAATTTTGTATCTCTCGTTTTTCTAGTCATTGTATTTTTTTTTTTTTTTTTTTTTTTGATAAACCCTATCGGCTGATCCGGTCGGCCTCGGTAGGAACGCACTGAGGTGCTACAGAATGGACTTCTCCCGATCCTGGTAGAATTGGACCACCACACTTTTTCTTTTTCTTTTTTTGATAAAAGTTCTTCTATCTCCTGTTAAAATTTTATATGCTTTTTACAGAAGGTAAATTGTTATGCAACATTTTCTATGTCGATTACATGAAATTTTCTTGACATTAGGTATACTAAATAAGACTTGTGTTTCCTATCTAGACGTCTAACGACGTTAACATTATAGGACATCTACATGCTCATGTGTTATAATAAGCTGTTAATAAGTGGATAGATTCAATCAAGATACCAGAACTGAAAGTGAAATTTTGCTTTGTTGGGTAATACCATAACCAGATCCAAATACATGTAACATTGAAAGGATAAAGTAATTAAAGATGTAACTTTTTTTTCTGCAATTAAAGATGTAACTATTGGGGATAATAAAACAGATAATTAAATTGAGAGAGAGAGAAAAAGTGATAGGAAAATTAGGGGGACCATCGAGTAAATAACTCTCTTTCTCTTCTGTTTTCTTCAGTTTCTCTCTCGAGATGCCCAACCTCTTCACTCTTCATCTACTTTTTAGCGACTATATATAACATAAAAAATACACTTTCTAAGTCTTAAATTTTACATATAGTATAGTCACTTTGTGTACATATAACGCTCGTTCCTAGCTATATAATCTAATTAATAACTTACATATTAAAAAATTTGAAACTAAAATTTTCTTAACGTAATTTTTTAAAATCATTTGGCTAATTAACTAGTAGATCAGATACACTTAAGAAATTTCTAATGTAAAAAATAATATTCTTTTTTCTTACAAATTTTCTACAATCAAGTTTTACAAAATTTGTAATGTAAAAATTAATATTCTTGAGTACATATATAATCTACAATAACGCATACTTGCACGTTCTTAGCTAGTCGTCTTTCAGAAAAAGTGTCAATCTTTTGGAATATATATTTAATAAATAGTCGTATATATGACCATAGAATCTTAGAAATGTGGCTTCTATCTATCTATCTATATGTGTATATATATATATAAACGTGTTTGTAATTTTGATAAAGATCTCAAACTCAAGTGGAAGAAACTGAATTGTATACGTCTCGAAATGGCATGCGTACCCACGGTACTGTATATGTAGATCATTGTTTGAATATCCCAACGTCGGCCGAAATTAATGATATGGTGTTCTATTTGCAATATTCACGTAACCTCACTTAATTCATACGTTTTTTTTTGTCTTGCTAAACTTAGCTTAATCTCATTATATACGCTGATATTGATTGCTATGTGTTAACTATGGAGAAATGTTATACAACTTTTAACATGATTTTCTTAGGATATTATTGTCGTTATATATCCTTCACATCATTAATTATTATTATCGATATGAAGTACTATAGAAATGCTATTAAAAACCCAATCTTTGTTCATGAGACCACAAACTTTTAGAGTCGGTGAAGTAGACATGACTTAGTGGATTTTAAGTTTGTCCGATTTCTCCTTTGTTCCCATGTGATATCTTAAGATAAAATGATCATCATCACACTTTTTTTTTCTCACTCCTTTGTTTTGATTCATAAGGATATATTGCTTTCGCCCACTTCTATTTTTCTCTATTAATATTCTTACATCACTTTATTTTAAAGACAATGTACGATTTAATGAAAAGTTAATTTGATGTTCTTGATACATATATATTAAATGTATTTGAAAAAAACTTTGGTTCGAATCTCATTGTGAATGGATAAGTTGCACACTTATAAAGATCACAATCATGTGAATATATACATACTTTTTTTTTTTATTGTTTTGAAATTCTGAAAAATTCCCTCGTTTCCATTGTTCTTAGAACATTAATTAATAATATGAGAATTATATATATGCCCTTTTCCTTTCACAGACTATGCATATATCCGAATTTACGAAATCATATTACTTCTCATATGCTTCCGTGCATATACAACATTCACATATATTACTAGATCCAATATAGAAAATCGAATTATTTTGTGGAAAAATCATAAGTTAAACACGTACCTTTCGATAAATGAAGATGTTAAACCGGTTTTTATGAAGCAAAAGTAAATTAGGGCTTAGTGATGTCTAATTAATGTACTTGTGTTTTGAAAAGGTAATGAGTCATGACTCAACAAGGTACACGAGGCGTGCATCGGGTAATCCACAACCTTTTGTAATTGTCGATATAACAGCATGCCAATATTCACATGGACCATATATATTATATTTTACCATATATGTGAGTTACATTTCTTATATGCATGGTCCCATATAATTATAGAACCAAGGTCTAAATTTACACAAAATACTATATCCTTTTGATTCGATTATCATAAGATATCGAGTTTAAAAGGTGAATTTAAATGATCAAGAAAACGCAACGCTGAACTCTAAAGTCTAATCTTGATCATTTATAGAAGTGTTGTTATGACAAAAATCAATAACTAGTAAGTAAAGTGATGTAGTTTATAAAAAAAAAAAAAAAAAAAAAAAAAAAAAAAAAAAAAGTGATATGTAGTTTAACTAGTCATAATATGATCAACTATATATAGATCCAACTTCATTTCAACATATCGCGAGTGCAATGGCGGGTGCAAAACACAATTTTGAAAAGAAAAAAAAGACTAGAATCACATAGGTGGCTTTAACAACGGGCAATTAAAGAACAAAAAACCCACTAAATTATTATCGTTTGGCCAATTGAGATAAAATTCTAGATTTTCATCAATAATCGTAAATCATCCCTTTCACGAAAAAAATTATTTGTAGCTCCTAAATTTCATTATTTTCATAACATTAGTTAGATGTTCTAATAAGCTACTATTATATATAACTTCACGTCAATATATATATATGTTTAATTTTGGTATCTAAAATTTCTTTAAAATTTATATATTCACGTATACTTTTTTGGGATTTTCTTCTTAGCCGTATTATACTTGCAACTCATATCACATATGTGGATAATAAAATATTCGAGTTTAATTTCTCGTCCGTATGTAGATTTGATATGATCCAAAATATTAAAGATGAAAATGAACTTGACTGATTATTCAGCGCATTCATTTTATTTTCCCTTCGAGGATAGCGAAATCCGCCATGTGGCATTATTACATCCATTGCTTTTTTAACATAAATACTTAGTCGCAATTTTTCTAAATTTTGGAGGCTTATGATATTGGTAGGGCTCTCATATTCACTTCCAAAAGCATCTTCTTCTTTCTAATTTTCTTTTTCATTTTTTTTTTTAATTTTCATTGTTACTTTTGAAAAGAAAAATCGAATCACATACTTTGTTCTCTCTTATTTCTCATTCTTCTTCTTCATCATATTACTCACTTTATAGAACAGCAAAACCCTAGATTTGCCGTCCAAGCTCAAGACCGTACAAACTTTGGAGCTCTAGGTAAGAAACAATACATGTTTTTTTTTCCTTCTACTGTCCGGATAAGAATTAAGTCAGTTGAAGAAGACAAGCTAAATTAAATTAAACCCTAGTTTTTCTCTTTTAGACAATTTCTACTTTATTTCAAATTTTCTGGATTAACTCGTTTAAAAAGGATTCGAAAATTCAAAACTAAATTGTTTGAGAAATTGTTGTTGTCCTTATGTTTTCTGTTAATGGATTTACTTTTGGTTCTTCTTTTTGTATTAGATATAAAGATCTCGAGTATAAGCATTATGAATATCGTCTCTTGGAAAGATGCAAACGACGAAGTTTCAGGCGGCGCTACGACAAGACGTGAAGGAGAAGTAGAAGAAGATCAACAAGAAGCCCAAGTCAGAGCCATCAGTGGCAAAACCGTAATTAAAAAGCCACCAACCTCGATCTCTTCTTCTTCTTCTTCGTGGATGAAATCGAAGGATCCGAGGATTGTTAGGGTTTCACGCGCCTTTGGAGGCAAAGACCGTCACAGCAAAGTGTGTACGTTACGTGGGTTACGTGACAGACGCGTGAGATTATCAGTCCCAACGGCTATTCAGCTCTACGATCTTCAAGAACGGCTCGGTGTTGACCAGCCTAGCAAAGCCGTTGACTGGTTGCTTGATGCAGCTAAAGAGGAGATCGACGAGCTCCCTCCGTTACCTATCTCGCCGGAAAATTTCAGCATCTTCAACCATCATCACTCCTTCTTGAATCTTGGTCAAAGGCCGGGTCAAGATCCGACCCAACTCGGGTTTAAAATCAATGGATGTGTAGAAGAGTCTACTACTACTAGCCGTGAAGCAAACAATAAAGAGAAAGGAGAAAACGATGTCGTTTTCACAAACAATCATCATGTTGGGTCTTATGGAACTTATCTCAACATGGAACATCATCATCATCATCACCAACATTTGAGTTTACAGGCGGATTATCATAATCATCAACATCAACTACATAGTCTTGTCCCATTTCCATCGCAAATTTTGGTATGTCCAATGACGACATCAACAACAGCAACAACTATACAATCTTTGTTTCCATCATCGTCGTCAGCTGGTTCAGGAACTATGGAGACATTAGATCCGAGGCAAATGGTAAGCCATTTTCAAATGCCATTAATGGGTAATTCTTCATCTTCGTCATCCCAAAACATTTCGACATTATATTCATTGTTACATGGTAGTAATAGCAACAATGGTGGTAGAGACATTAATAATCGGATGTCGAGGCATCTAGGCTTGGAGAGTAGTACAAGTAGAGGAAGTGATCACCATATGTGAAATTAGATTATTGAAACAATATAGTTGATGTTTGATGTGTTCACAAGTAAGGGGACACAAAACAAAAAATAAGGTGATTACCATTGTACTATTTTTTGCTGATATATTTTTCTTATACAAAATAATGTTATGAATTGATTTATTAATTACTTGTATTTTAGCATGTGTTTGGAACTTTCTCACCTATATAGCTAGCTTCCTCTCATAGAATCTGAATACACACAAATTATTCATTTAGGGTTCATCAATAGAGATAACGTAATAATATGAAATGGAATTAAATAATTTATATTGATCCGTTAATCGAGGTATTATGTTTCTATTGGATGCACGGTACATTGCAACTATAAAACTCAAGTGGTGACCGTAGCTAGATTAGATGATGAGAATTCAAGATACTAATCCACAAAAACCAAACAGACCTAACATTACAATGTTATGTGAATATATCAGATATATATTAGACCCATTATCAAATAGAAATTCATCATGAATGGCTTTACAAGTGCCCTTTTTTTTTTATTATCTTAAGTAAACTCAAGATGCAAAGACGTACATTCCCATTTACATATTTAAGATGACTAGCTAGGCTAAATGGTCTCGTCGTTTATCTATGTTAACTCAAATTAATGTGTAGTAGTGATCACATGCATGTTCACCAATGCAAAAGTTAGGCTAAAATGTAAATACATATGTACATGCTATGAATATATTTATAGTAGGAAGTAAAAGGAACAATTAATAAAGGATGAATTAGTTAAATAATTTAGGGGGTGATAGAGACAAAAGCTTCTAAATAATGTTGTGTGTACGATCTTTGATTGATTTGAGTAAAAGGCTACCGATCCAATGCTCTGTGACTCTGTCGTATATCATCATACTTTCTGCAAAAAGCTTCCATGTCGATCTCTAGCTATCATACATGCATATATATATATATATATAATTTGAATTATCTGGTTTTATTTTCTTTATGATTTCCAATCACACTGTAATTTAAAGCAAACTAAACTACGGAGACAATAAATGACGAAATTTGAAATTTGTTATAAGCACAAGAGTAAATAAAAATGTGTAATTCGTACTAACATTAAAAATTACCATATCAAACGATCAAAATTAGATTTGGTTCTGCTTCAGTTTATACATTTTTTTTTCCAATTAAAATAACGATATATGAATCTCAAATATCAATTTCAAGTGATTGTACAGCACACCTTTCATTCCCACTGCGCATTAATTTTTTTGAATATTATAAGCTGCAATGATTAAATAAAGATTTATTATAAGAAATAAATGTCTACAACATACTGTATAATCCTCTGTATTGTGTTAACACCGATATATAAATCTGAAAGAATGCATGTTGTTGATACTAAAAAAATCAAAACATAGTGGAAATTAAAAATATTTTGAGCTTTTTTCAAATCACATTTTGAATATGGACTGCGATACTGAAATGTATGAATTAGTTCTTCTCATTCTTCCTCTTTGCTTTGCTTTTACGTCTTTTTGTTGTTGGGCCATCCATGGACCCAGTAGTTTAAAATTCTGTTTAATAACTTGAAAGCCCATCAACCCAATGTACGAGTCTTTTAAGATTTCCGATCTGGATTTAATTTTCCGTTACAGAAATCTATAACTTTGCCCATTATTGTATCCTTTCTAATTATTACATCATCGCTGTAACTTTACTATATACATACTAGTAGTATTAAAATAAATAATTCGATTTTTTAAATTCGCATAATAAAGATTAATTTAATTTCCTTACAAGTGAAAAAAATAGTAATTGCCTTTAGTTTTCTTTAAAAACTCATAAGCTCTCTCTATAAGTTAACGAAACTCTCAAACTTCACAAATCTCCCACCTTTCTTTCTGTCTCTCTTTTTCTTCGCCTTCTCAAATTGGATCGAAAGGTTTAAACTTGGAGCTGGGTTTTTGATTCGCATTCGAAATTTCCTCAATTTCGTTTCTTGGTACTTTCAATTTCACTTCTTCTCTAGGGTTTTCTCTCACTGCGTTCGCCGCCGATAGCTGCCCGAAGTTGTGTCTGTTCTTCTTCCTCGGTGAATTTTAAATCCTCGAGGTTTTTTTTTTCAATGGAGAAAGCTTTTTCTCCGGTAAGCATTTATATACTTCTCTAAATTGGATTCGTTTACTCTCTCTCGAGTTTGCTTTGTTGCTTTCTACTGCTGTGAATTGAACCCGATTACTTTCTAGGGTTTCGCTGGAAACGTGTATTTTATAATGACTGGAGCAAAATTGATCTATCATTAAGTTCAATTCTTCGTTTTATGTTACTTTTGGGTTAGTAATAAAATTGATTATGATGTTTTATTCTCTCTTATTTGTTCTTAGGTGCCAAAGAGAAGAATTTCGAGGGAAAGATATTGATTTGGTTTTGTGTTCTCAGAGGGATGCGTGTTGTGTTGCTTTTTCTTTCAAGAAATGGTTCTACATGTTATGTTGGGTGATGTTGTAAGAAAGTTTGAATATGAGCAATGGAGGTGGGGATAGTGGAAGTCAGCAAAGAGAATTACCTGGTAAGAGAAAGCTTTTCCGAGGCAGTGATTTTGCGTTTTCCATAGCGAGAATGGCAGTGGCTCAGATATGCGAGAGTGTTGAGGTTAACTCGTATCAGGAATCACAGACACGCGAGGGCCTGAGGTTTAGTTCTTTTCAAGAATCTGCTCTTGAAACACTAACCGATGTAACGGTTCAGTATATCCAGAGCATTGGGAAGACTGCTCATTTGTATGCTAACATAGCCGGTAGAGTAGATGGTAATTCTCTGGACATTGTTCAAGCTTTAGAGGATTTGGGATCTGGTTTGGGTTTTGCTGGTGTTTCAGATACTGACCATTGTCTTGCTGATTCCGGTGTAGTCAAGGATATTATTCGTTATACTGGAGAAGCGGAGGAGATGCCGTTTGTTTACTCTCTTCCTCGTTTCCCATTTAGTAAAGAGAAAAAACCTGCTCCTAGTTTCTCTGAGGTTGGAGCAGAACCTCCAGATGAACACATTCCTGTTTGGCTTCCTGCATTTCCCGAAACCGAATTGTGTGATCGATCAGAGGAAACTAATGCAGCCACAATCGAAGGAGAAATTCCGAGTAAAGAAAACGGTTCATCTTTACCGAGTATGCAACATTCTTTCGATGGTGGTAGGTTAGATATACATAAATCTACAAAGGATGTTCGAGAATCACCAGAAGCAGTAGTCGAAGGTAACCCGTTTCTAACTGCGCCTCTTCGAATTGTGGAGAAAAATGTGTCACCTGTGGTCCGCCCTTTGGAGATTTCAAATGAAGTTGTTAGGACCAACCACGTTCCTGATAAGTATATGAGCAACAACCATCACATCCCAGTTCTTGAGGCATCTGCATCATCGGATAAAATCAACAACAAGAACTGGTTAGCTGAATTCGAGGATGGAGAGAAGGAATATGTTGCAAGAAAACAACGAACTTTGGTACGTTTCAAGATTGGGACTACAAAAAGATCTACGTGTTTGGCAAAAAGTCGGAGCTTCCAGGAAGAGGGTTGGTTTCAAGAAATTGAAGACAAGAGGGAGAAGAAGTCAGAAATCAAAGAAAAGCGCGAAAGAATTGACTCGCAATTGTCAACACAGATGTAAAATAGGTATTATGTCATTTCAGAATTTGCAAACAAAATAGCTTTGCATCCTTAGTTTAGTGATCGTTTGCAACTGGAATACGTTACTTTTTAGGGTAAGAGATTTTTACTAATTCAAAATGATGGAGAAATAGAAGGTTGTTTGGCCTTTAACTTGATTTGCAGTGAAATATTATTTTGATAGACCAATTAATATGCTCTTAGCACCTTTTGGTAGATGGATTATCTTTGAACTTAAATACTGTTATTTATTAATTAGACCTGTATATATTATATGCTGGTTACAACAAACAAGTGGGAAGAGAACAGAACAGGCAAGAGGGCTGAAAACCCAGAGACCAAAGGTTCTCTTCCTCTCTAAGATTACTTCATTTACAATTCTAAGTGATAACCATAAAAAATTAGCAGAAGCAAACTTCATTAACCAAGTCTCTGAAAATCATTCTCTCAATATCTAACACAATTCCTGGAGTCTCTCCTTCAAACTCCTTCAAGTTCATGACTTGACTTTGCAGGTCCTCCCATATGATGTCTTCCTCGTCGTCCTCCAAGATACAGTTTGAGTTGTTTTGTTGTAACCTATCAATCTCTGAACACAGAGTCTGCAGAAGTTGCTCCTCTTTTGATATTCTCTCCATTTTTTTGAGTGGATTTGCGGTTGAACGTGGTTTGATACAGCCTTCTGCAGTGAACTTCCGAGCTACAATCTCGTTAACGGTGTCGAAGACGAGTTTTCTCCTAATTTTCTCTGTCGGATTTGTCTGCTGTTGTCTGAATCCTCTGCCTCTGTGTTTGTTGTCCGGTAGAGTCACATTGCTGGCCTTATTCTGTTCTAGGATAAAGAACAGTCCAGGGTTGATTGGGAGGCGCGTTTGATGCAGCTGAAAGCTTATCATGCTGTATTCAAGATCTCTTAGAATCCCTGAGGCCAACAATATCTCTAAGATGTACTTGTGGTTGCCGCTTTTGAAGTCTGCACCTTCTTCAGGGAAGCATTCAAAAAGATCAGAACTTGGCTTCGTTGGGCCCCGGTTACTCTGGGGAAATAGTATGGATCTGCAGAAGCTGGTAGGCTTGTTTATCCACTCAGATTCTTCAGAACGTAAAGCATCCTCCTCTGTGGCAAGAGAACAAAAACACGGTGAGAACTTTATACTAACCAAAACCTTGTGAATCCATGTAGTTAATTAGCATCGTGAACATGTAATAGTTACTATATATGAATGAGTCACTAATCAGTCTGATGGTTCTTTTTCTAAGTGCCTCACCTTTAAAACTAAGGGATATCTTCCTCACAGGGGACGGTGAATCCTCTTCGTCGAAGACTGCATCAAGAACTGAAACAGGGCTCGGTTGTTCAACGGTAACTTTCAGAGGTTTTAGGGATGGTCTGTCTTGTTTGATTCCAAAGTCTGGACTCTGCATTGGTAAACAGAAAAGATTCAGTTTATTGAGTACTCATGATATAACTTGAGAAGTGAAGATACGTGAGATAGAGAAAGAGATCTATTTAATACCCTTTGTTTTGGGGTGTGCTGCTCTGGGAAGTCACAGTTCCTCTCCAGCCTATGTCTGCTTGTAACCTCGATGTCAACATTCGACCCCAAGCTTATGTTGCTGTCAGATCTTAGACTCCTCAAGTCGCTGCTTGCATCGCTTAATCGGTCATCAGGTTGCTGAAGAGTAATGTGAGGTTTTATCACCTGTTTTCTTCTCGGGGAGGCTACCTCGGTTTGCTGCCTTCCGAGTTGCCTTTTGCCTGGCTCTGATTTTGGCGTTGTGGGTCGAGACTGTTTCTCGAACCCGAGCTTTTTTGGCTGCGTTCTTGGGCTGACACTGTGCTGTTGGCTCCTACCTGACTTGGTCATGGAACCAGCATCCGCAGCCGAAGCTTGCCTCGACCGTAATGATTTTGGGCTATTGCTCTTCGTGGAATCGAGTTGGCCCTTGTAAAGGCCTGGCCTAGGGGTTAAAACCATCGCGTTCTGTTTCCCCGAGGTGACTTTCCGGGTTTGTCTAGAGTTTCCAACCTTGACATTTGGTAAGGCGACATTCTGTGGCAGCGGAGAGGTGGAAACTGGAGCCGCGGATCTCATAACAACGATCGATGAAGATTTGAAGTTCCTGGCTGGACTTGTTGCTGCTGGAACTGACTGGTGAGTTCTCTGCATAAGAGTGGTTGTACTCAGAGTACTGTCATCTCTGCTTTCATCTATCAACTGCTGCGTTTTCTCCATAGCCTCAAGTATTTGCTTAAGAGCTCTGAGATCTTTTCCTGACTTTTTGAACTCCAACTGCGTAAGCCGCTTCTGAATTTCACCATATACAGTCAGTGCAGAGTCGCCTGCTTTCATTTGCTTCCATGGAGCTGGTTCCATTGGAAACTTAGAAGCAGCTGAAGCAGGTATCCTCTTGATCGAATCTACGCTTCTAGATCTCTGTAGAGCTGGTTCCACTCTGAACATTGGCCTTGGAGAGTCACAAAACCGGTTCTCTCTTCTCTGTTCAGTATCAGAATTGTCTGCAATGACTTCAAGACCCATCAATTTGGCAACAACACTCGAACTTGATCTCCTGTGATTCATTGTTGCGGGTTCCTCTGGACAACTCGATCTCGCAGCATCTGCTCTCGGACTCCTAAAGGAATTCGATCTACTATCCAACGACAACCTCGGTGTCTCTTTCAACTTCGAACCCACCTTGAACCCGTTGTTTCTCATCTCCCTCTCATCATAAGAAAGCCGATGACTTTCCTTAAACTTCATAGCCATTCCTCTTCCTTCATTCCACTCATTAGAACTCCGATATGGTGAACGCAATGATGATTCTTTGAGAAGCAACATGCTAGTTCGAGCTGAATTGGGCTGCTGCTGCTGAGTGAAGGCAGCTTCTTCGCCTCTAGTTCTCATTTCTCTATTAATAGAGCCTTTCACAAGCTCCTTAAGATCATACGGCATCATCAGGCCACCATTGGGATGTTCTCTGATCAGGTTCTCACCAGGCGGATCAAATTGAGAAGCTGTGGTACTGACTTCTGCAGACGAGAAGCTCGAGGAGCGTGGAGAAGACGAAAATGAAGGCCTCGAAGAGGATTCAGAAGAGACTCTATGCTTCTCCTTCGCTGCAGACTTCTTCTTCTTGGTACTACTCCTCTCCTGCAAAAGTCTCTGTTTCTTTCAGCTTCTGTTTCCTGAATAATTCTCCCATTCTCTAGAGATGAGTAAAAATAAACTGAGTTCAGATTCTTACCGTTTCTTTATCACTTTCCATGTTAATTTCACCGACGCTACCTCTTCTTTCCCCTGCAAAAATAACCCCTTGTTCTTAGCTATAAGCCTATAACCATATTTTTGGTTCTAGTGAAACTACTCTGTTTCTTTGTGGTCCTAAACACTGAACTGAGATTTAGTAAGAGAGAGAGTTTAAGTTACCTGGAGGCAAAGACTTGTCTACATCGCCGGAGACGGTGACTGGTGTCGCCGGACAATGTTGCCGGTAAAACACTTGAAAGATCCCATTCATGCATCCAAACTGTTTATTCAGATTTGGATTCTCATCTGACAAGTTATACAGAAGTTTTGCAGACATATCTTCTTCTCCTACTTAACTTTTATCTCAAAAAAGATTACTAAAAACACTTTCACAAACTCAACTTTCTCTTCATAAATACTCTGTTTTTTGCAGTTACCAGTTTCTTCGTCTTGGGTTTAAAGATTTTTTTCTTGTGTTTCAGAGGAAGAAGAAAAGAAGAAATGGACAAGAAGAAGCCAACATTAAGGACAAATTATAGCTTCTTGTGAAGTTATGAACAGACAACAGATTAGGTTCCTCTGTGTTTGGCTTGGAGGCTACCTTGAAGAAGAAAGAAGAGAAGGATAGAAAAAAAAAAGTTTTTTTTGTTTTTGGTCTTTGAGAGAGAGGTTTCTATCTTTAAAGGCAAAGATACAACTGTCAAAGAAGGCTTTGAAGCATATATAATGTAATGCATGTACATGTGTTAACATGTAAAGTTTTATACATGTAAGAGATTTTATGTATTTTAGTATTATATACTAATCTTTATATTCTTTAATTATGTCAGAGCTCTGAAAAATTCTGCTCGCCAAATAATGAGGAATCTGTTTCATCTCCTAAGATGATAGTTACGCACATGACAGCACAAGGCAACTTATTTAGAAAACAAAATTAAATGCTTTTTGAAATTCGGAAAAAATTTGGATATATTTTGGATCTATTGTAAGAAATGTTAGGCATGTCTATCTATTTATTGATTCATCTCAGTGAATAAGAAAAAATGATAGATCTTATAGTATTTTAATTTTTTTTTTGTTTCTCCAAATATGATTTTGGTTTTTTCCTCATAATAAAGGAAAATAAAGTTTTATCTACGAGTTGATAATTAGTTAAGTTTGCCTTACACATCCATGTGAACAAAATAATGTGGGTGGGTCTTTATAAGTCTTGGTGCCTCTTTTACATGTGCATGTGGAGTTTGTCAGGAACACACAGCATTTGAAAATACATATATTTATCTTAAAGGATAATAAGAGAAAATAAATAAAAATTTGTATTCTAATGGCAACATATAAAATCAAAATAAATTATTAAGGGAAGAAAGTGGATTGGTGAACTGGAAGAAAGCTTGCATGGTCTGAGATTGGTGGGTCGTCTTTCAAACTGGGATATTATTATTTTATTTTGTCAATATTATTCAGTTATTGAAAATAAATAATTTATATGGGATACTTTTTTTGTTGATACAGAGACTTCAATAGTTACCGAGAGACTGATGCATAATAATAATGCATGCATATGCAAGTTAAACAGTTAAAGCAAAATATGGATTCAAGTTAGTTTCTGCATATACGAAGGACCACATTTTTGTGAACATCTTCCGCTACGCTCACTAAATATGGTTTGTCATAAATTATGTAGTTTATTAAAGAGTGGCTATTAAAAAACCACATTCAAAGTTTTGGATAATGTGTCGTGTATTAATGTGTATGTGCAACTATGTCCACTAGGTGAAGATGAATTATAGGATATTGATCAACATTGGAGTATTAAGTAAGAATCGATTCTAGATATCGACACAGCTTATATATATAGACTACATTTTGTACTTTGATGAATCTGGTATTGGAAACTGTATCCGATCTCATATTAAAAATTAAGCCATCTTCATTTGTTTGATTCTTTCGATTAAACACCAATAAATATCATGAAAGTAGGAACCTATTTCTATAACCCTCTATAATTAGATGGCTACTAAGACATTATTGTGCAAGGTTCTTTTTTACTCATACATCTCTTTCCTGTTGTTAAGAGTATGCGTCAAATCAATATAACAATAATTGTTTTATAGCCAGGCATGCATAATTATACTTTAACCAGTTAAAGATTGTGATATTTCAGTGCCCTAATCGAATAGTAGAGTGATTTATTTAGTGAATGATGTTTAAAGTTTTGTGGACAAAACCACAAGTAGGTTATAAAACTGAAGAAACGACTAGATATCCAAAAGTTCATTACTTTCTGGTTATTAAAAACAATTAGTCGGTTGCTTAACGTATTAAATAAAGTGCTTAAGATGATGTAATAACTTTTTGCATGTGAATCATTCAAAATTAAGGAATCTGGCATATAAAATGAGGAAGAGAATTATTATATATATATGGAATAAGTCCTCGTCGTCTTTTAGTATTTTGTCTTGGTTGATTTGAGGGTTTATGTCCTTAGATGTACTAATCACAAAAAGCTTGTGGGCATATCACGTGCTTTGTTCCACAATGTGCTGTGAACCAGGTGGGGTTTGTGACTTCTTATCTATTAAATTTTTTTTTTTAATTTAAAATACTATTGTTTGCTAGCTAGTCATATAAAAACACAAAATTAATTGATTTGACCTTGGAAGTACCGAGGAATATACTATTACACATGGGTATTAGGTTTTGCTTTCAAATATTGTACCATAATCAATATCAAGCGCGTTACCTTTATGTCCATATACATATAATATGATTTGATGGTTTGAATTCTTTGGTCATTTTTCAATTTTTTGCATTAATAACAATTTGTGATTATTAACAACAAATTATATAGCATAACATTATTTAAAGCTTACCGCAAATGATAGTATGGTAAACTTCATGCAATGTCTTGGTTGCTTGTGTTTAAACAATTTTGTTATCATTACCAAAGATTAACTAATCAGTGTTTTAGAAACGAGAGTATGTGTGGAGATGAGCCACCATTTTGGGGAAAAATACTTTTTTCAAGTTGGTACATATCTACATCAATCACAAGATATATCGCCAAGACATGATATATGTACACATACAGTATATGATTATTACCACTCATTTCTGCGAATAAATCTTATAATGATTCGTGGATGCTAGTGTGTAAAAATGATTTCATATTTGCATAATTACATCAAAGTAATAAACAGCGTGAATGCAAAATAGACACTGTGGTTAAAATCTTAAATTGTGAAATGATTAATGTTAAATCAGGTAATTGAACTAATATCATTTCTCTATATTTCGAGAGACTATAAATAGGATTATAACCTTCAGAATAAACTGTTTGACCAGTTATATAAACATTTTTTCTTAGATAAAGATATGTGTAGATGAAATGCACAAAACATACTTCACCCGTTAAGATGAGATTAATCTATATATAATCTCGTAATCAGAGAAAAATAAAGGACAAAATAAAGGGAAAAAATGGCAAAAGAATAGACAAGTGAAAAAGAAAAGACAAAGGGAACCAAAAAAAGATAGAAAAGGGAACAAAATCACATGAAGCAATTGGGTAAGTGACTTGAGTGTTAGGGTTGATAGGGAACCAACTAAGCAAAATGCATTTTAAATGCTAATAATAGTTCACTAAGAATTAGTTACAAGATAAGTGTGTATTCTTTCACGTTAAGTTTCATAGTTCAATTTATCTTGTTCAATTATTGGCACATGATCCCACTTATCACCCACCCATCCAACATTTGTTTAATTTCACCATTAATTTTTGTGGGGCTTCTCTTCTTTGATTTTGACTGCCAACATTACATACACATCTTTGCAATTTTGTATAATTATATATCATTTGAAAAGAAATAATTAATAATTACATAATCCACTATTGACATTATAAATAATTTGTATTATATGTACATATTTGTCTAAATTTGTATTTTCTGACTTATAGACATCCATTTATGAAATACTATACTATTTATTTAATGTGCTTTTAGAAAACTAAGTAACAAACTACAAGCTTCCTAAAAACATTGAAGTTTATTATAAAGATTTAGATAGTTAAATGAGGCTAAGTCAAGATTCCTTTCTTCATCAATCATCATGATTACAATTACTTATAACTATTAAAATTTAATGTCACATGCGACGGATCTAAGATTAGGGAAGACCCAAAATAAAAAAAGTTCCAATAACAATCCCTATTTTAAGGTCATCGGTCATCGCTCATCGGTCTTTAATTGACGTTGGTCTTAGTTAACACCAAAACGTAAATGTTAAGTTTTATGATTTTTAGCTCAAAAATATCTTCGAACCAATATACATTCTCCTATATATAATACTTTAGGTTCCAATATACGAAACTATTCTCCTATATATTACTTTAGGTTTCCAATATATATACCAGAAGAAAAATCTTATTATTCTTGAGTTGTGCCAATCATATGGGCCTTAACTCTCTAAACCCATAAGTAATTAAAGCTCTCAAGTTCATGTACCTTGGAGTTTGTTAAAATCTGATCCTTTTCTCGAATTTTCCTTAAAATAATACTTCTGTTCAACACATGGGAAAAAGAATGTAACCATAATATAATAATTTGAAGAGAAAATATGAACAATTACTTTGCAAAATGTGGGGTACAATTACAAATTACAAAAGACGAAGTATGGAAACCATGTAAGAGTAAGAGTATCATATGCTTTCTCTGCCAACAATAAATTGATGTTCAATGTGTAGTGAGCGAAACAAAAGTTGTTGTTTTTTTGGTATTTTAACATTAAAAAAATGTTCTTTTAATTAATATTACACGTTGTTTACATTTTCTTTGGCCTTAAAAGCGTTTTTGTAAACCAAACTTTCATTCCTAATTGATCTTCACATTCACATATTCACACTTTTAAGGTCCATGAAAATAATTTTGTACTTAAAAAAAGGAGAATGGGCGCAAAATGTAAAAGCAAAAGAGAGATTCAAAGCGAGATTGAGATTTTATTTTGATGTCGTCATTGCCATCTTTCAACATCACTTAAAATCTTCAAAGAAGTCAACGAGGAAATCTCGTCCGTAGGATGATGAAATCGTACAAACTCTGATTATGATGATCCTCAAAGTCATGGGTTCACACAAAAATGTGGTTAGTTTCTTCTTTCGTGTCAGAAATTTTCAAAAGAAAATGCGTCTCATTATTCTCGCCTACTTTTCCTCTATTTAGACATTGTCTTCCTCATGCATGTTTTACAAAAAAAAAAGATTCTTCTTCATGCATGTCTATGGAATCAAGTAAGCCCAAAAGTATCCCAAGGAATTCCGTAAGCCCAAAGAAAGCCCGTATAAGCCCATTTCAGAAAATACTTTACTTTTCTTGTATTCTCTCATTTCCTCTGAGTGCATATCCATTTCCATCTGTTTCTCTTCCTTGATTTGCGGCCAATCGTAGAACAAGTAGTGAGCAGAAGATACACTACAGAGACCAGAGAGGTAAAAATCAATCCTTTAGATCTCTCTTATTACGTGTCTTTAATGATTCAACGATAATCTTTTTTGGGATCTTCTTAAATGATCTGATCTGATAAATAAACAAATTTAATAAAACATTTTCAAAATCCAGATCTTGACAAGATGGGTAAAGCAAGAGGAGTGAACAATGGTGTTAATGAAAGTTCTCTCGGTTATCTCTTTGGTTCCGGCCAGCCTTCTTCAGCTGCCGCCGCCACAATGGGGACTACTACTACAACAACCACCACAACTACCACCGATGGAACCGGAGGGAGACCGATAACCACGACGACGACCACAGTGACTGATAACAAGAAGACATCTGCAGGTGTTAGAGGAAGTCCTAATAATTACTTCAGATCAGAAGGCCAAAACTGTGGAAACTTTCTCACGGTAAGAGGAGATCTTTACAATATTTTGAGATGAAAGAATTGAATTTTGATTTGGAAACTGATAAAAAACCAAAAATGTGTTTGATGAGAACAGGACAGGCCATCGACTAAGGTTCATGCAGCTCCTGGTGGTGGATCTTCTCTTGATTATCTGTTTGGAGGACCAAGTCCTGCTGGATCTGGAAACAAATGAAGTTGCTTGTAGTTTTTTTCCCACTATTCAGATTTGTGTAAATCATCAAATGTGTGGCTTTTATCCCTTTGTGAACCATGTGTGATTCAATTGTGATGTTTGCCTTTGATCTGTTCTCTATGTTGTTAAAGGAATTTTCAGACAATGTTCTCTTAAGAGTTCCAACAAATAAACAAAGTCCTGATCAACCTAGGGAACGAAATGAAACAAACAATGCCCACCAGTTCTTGCGTTGAAATCAGCCATGTTCGAAGCTCTAATCAACACTTGTAGGAGAAATGACTCGAATTTAGCCATATACTTATTGAATATGTTTCCTAATAGAGTAGAAAGAAACAGAGTCAAATGAATGACCAATTGTTGGAAAAAGGATTCAACTATCATAATTCATAATCATGCACTATGCAAGTTCTAAGATTCAAACATAGCAAAGCCACAAAATCCTTAACAAAAACTAAAACTTTAGGGGTCAAAGACCACAATTCCGATACAAGAAAAGCAATTAGGAAACTCGGACGAATCTGAGTCACGGCAGTGAACTCGAGGAGTGCTCTAGAACCCTAGCTTGGTACGGCGCCAGTGCCTACGCTTAGCGTTGTACCTGCGTGAAGGTGATGAAACAATGGAACTCAGTATCAAAGTCTGCAACTTTTTCAAAGATGGAATGAAAAAAGTCTAGAAAAATCTATAAACCTGATTCTGTTATCGGTACGGAGACGGATCCAATTAGGAATGGGCCTGTTCTGTCTCATCTTCTTCCCTAGCTTCTTCTTAATCATGAACGACTTGTGCGACGGCTAATATCAGAGACCATGAAACCGATCAGGCGAATGAAAAGGTTAAAGAGAGAGAACAAAGGATACAGAGAGAGAGAGAGAGTAAAAGTACCATCTTGACTTCAACGGTGGCGATCCGGCGGAACACGGCGGCGTTTAAACCCTAATCTTCTCAAATGTAAAACTGAGGAAGAAATTGATTTTTATAAGGGTTGTGAAGAAGAGCTCGATCCTGACCGTTGGATTTTCTTATGATTTATTAGCCGTCAGATTCTTAAACCGTTAATGTTAGGAATCGTATTCGGTTCCGGTTCGCTAAACCGGAAAAGATAAAAATATAGATTAGGGTTTTCGTTTTCTTCTCTTTGCTTGCTCGGCTGCTGAAACAAGTTCTGATTTTGGGATTTTGTTCTTCAGCGCCGCCGAGAAGATTCGAAACCGGAGCTAAGCTATGACGACGATTGTTCCCACTTCCGAAGAAGATCCCTTTCTCGCTGTTGTCCGATTCACTTCCCAGCTCGCCTGGGCCGATGCTGGTCCCGAGGTACCACTACCACCACTCCTTCTTTGATAAATTTGATCTGGTATTAGAAGAATCTGATTGCTATTAGAAGTTTGCGTTGATATGATTCTGATGCATACGATTAGTTCAACCATCCTAGATTAGTCTAATTACGCTACTTCTTATAGTTTGAGAGTTTTGAACTTTTTGTTTCTTTTTAGGCTGCAGAGCCTGAAATTACCAGGCTATGTAGGGAGGCTGAGGAGTCAATAGTAAAAGAGAAGTGGCTTGAATTGTCTACGTTAATGGTAACCTCAGCTGAATTGGTATCATCCAAGATATCTGAGAAAGGTTTGTGTTCCTATCCTTTTTAACAATCATACTTATACCTGTTTATTTTGTATGTTCCTCGACTTTCTCTAGTATTCAATTACCTGTGGTTTGATGTTGTTTGCATCTTTTGTTTATTCAGATCTTGAGTGTACCTACACCATCATTTGCAGCATTGTCAAGAAGGTGGAAAGCCCTGAGGAAGTCCTTGAAATTGTGAAAGCTATAGCTTCCAAGGTTGCTCAACAACCTAGTGACAAAGCTTCACTTCGTTTGAAGATGTATGAATCTTTTCAGCTTATTTTTGAATGCTTTGTTTATTTCTCACACACACACTTCTCACTTTCTTTTTCTGTCATTGTGTAGCCTCTTTAATCTCTATAACCTGGTGGACCATCCGTATGCTCGTTTTCAAGTATACATGAAAGCTCTTACACTAGCTGTTGATGGGAAGGTTACTGAGTACATAGTTTCTTCTTTTAAGAAGATTGATAATTTCCTGAAAGAGTGGAATATTGACATTAAGGATCAGAGGGAACTCTTTCTTGCCATTGCTAATGTGCTGAAAGAAAACAAAAGGTACCGGAACATAGTTTATACTTTATAACCCTCCCCATCAGTCATTCCCTCTGGTTTTGTTTTGTTTCCGTTTAGATATAACTATAGCCTCATGGTTTTTTTCTGTCAATACTCCAGCTTGGTGAATGAATCCCTTAAGTTCTTGACAAAGTATCTAGCAACTTTCTCCAATGAGGATGCTCAGGTCCTGGATGAAGCCAAGGAGGAGGCTGTGCGTGCAGTTATCGAATTTGTCAAAGCTTCCACTATTTTTCAGGTATCATAGTGTTATTCGGATTTGTCTTTCTTGTCCTGACAATACTCTTTTGTAAATGGAATTTCAACGAGGATTATCTTAAAACTTGCAGTGTGATTTATTGGACTTGCCAGCCGTAGCACAATTGGAAAAGGATGCTAAATATGCTCCGGTTTACCAGCTTCTGAAGATCTTTCTTACTCAGAGACTAAATGCCTACACCGAATTCCAAAATGCAAATCCGAAATTTCTGCAAAGCTATGGTACTAAAACGTTAATTCATTAGCTGCTTTTGCTGAAACATGATATCCTGATGAATCCTCTGGTGTTTATAGGACTTGCCGATGAAGATTGTGTTACGAAGATGAGATTGTTGTCACTAGTGGACTTGGCCTCAGATGAATCTGGCAAAATACCTTATGCCTCAATTAAAGACGCTCTTCAGGTAAAAACTCTCCTCTGCTTGCGCTAAACATGAAATATTGGGAGCCTTTTAGTTTCTCAGTTTTCTTTGTGTTTTCAGGTAAATGAAGAAGATGTTGAGTTATGGATCGTGAAGGCAATAACTGCAAAATTGATTGATTGTAAGATGGATCAGATGAACCAAGTTGTAATTGTCAGGCAAGTCACACATCTTTTAAACGCTGGACTTATCTCAATTTCCTTGCAACATTCATTATTTGATGGTTTGATTCATATCTTTCAGCCGCTCTTCCGAACGTGAATTTGGGACAAAGCAATGGCAATCTCTCCGAACAAAGCTTGCGACTTGGAAGGTAATTACAAAATCTTTCACTTCATATTACTATAAAACATCTCCTGAATCTGATTGTTATGTGTGGTTGTGTAGGACAACATTTCAAACATCATAACTACGATCGAATCAAATAAGGTAACCGAGGAAGGTTCTCAGGCATCATCATCATCTGCTGCAGCAATTCAAGGCTTGAGTGTTCGTTGAAAAAGCTATCAAGAAAAACCGTTTTCATCTCCAGAAAAGCTCAATTCTATAACGAATCTTTTGTTTTCTTGAAGCTTTTTCTCTGTGTATTTGCTTGCAGAGTTTTTTTTTGATCTTTGAATCTTTTTTGTCCCTGAAACAATGCGGAGACTTGCTATACATTATTTTTCGCTTAGTAATGTTTCTTATTTTGATGCTACACACTATTTCAATAGTTAAGACTGAATATTTTTCAATTCTCAATATGGAGACGAAGAGCAAAGAAGTAGTAGCCATTATCAAGGGGATCTAGTTACCAAACTTCAATTAAAGCGTTATACAGGAAGAGGACAGATGAGGGAACAGAACACTAAACTAAGCTACCAATTCTCTCATTATCAGTTCAAAAAACTGCATCATAAGCTACATTCTACACTTGATGATTCTTACAAGTTTCCATGTAGGAAGAGAGTCAGTAACAAGGCGATTGCTACAAACATAGAACCGATTGATTTATGCGAGCCGGTATTGGGTAACCAAGGATAAGAATCAGGAGGAGGCATCACACAGTTATCTCCATTGAAATAAATTCTTCTTGGAAATGCCCAACCTTTCTCAAATGTGAAAGCTGATGCTTCTTTCTGGAAAAGTAGCTCAGATTGTACATTACCAAATGGTCCAGCTTGCATCAACAGATCATTGTAGAACTTTATTCCCCAGAGAATCCCAGTATCATCTATACAAATCAAAAACAATAACACATCAAGATTTGTTCCTTTCTATGGAAACAAGGGACTGATTGATGGTGTACTTACTTATGGAAGCATATGGAGTCAAGGGTTTATAGTTGAAGCTAAAAGTCTGAGTGAGATTGTCAAAATTCGGATGCTGCACGACGAGATTCCACTGTGAATAGTTCATGTTGTAGTTGAAATTTGTGATGGTGACTTTAACTCTCCAGTACTGTTTGTAGTTGACCTTCACATGCCAGTGGATTCTAACTGGACACATATGCTTTGTACATTGGACCAGGGGTGGTATATATGCGTTCTTCCCTGGATTTGGAATGACCGATGCTATCCGTGGACCTTTTGGGCTGTGTGTGGACAGACAAGACAACAAAATTAACCAAACAAGTTAACAGATTTTCAACTGATTTTGAAAGCTATGTGAAGAACTTACTCTACACAATTCCCTGGCTGAGAAGTGTTTTGGCATCCACAAGAGCATGTTGGACAAGAAACGATTGTGCTGTTATAAAACGATGAAAGCGATACACAGCAAGTAGGAGTTTTCTGAGCTAAGAACTGCGAGTATGTGCAAGTTACATTCCAAGTCACTGTCACAGCAGAAAAAGAAAAGCCAAAACTCAGTTTTCATTTCACTCAAAAGTCAAAAGTCAAATTTGTTTTGGTAAAGGTCAAGATCTGAGTAACTTACTTAATGCTTGTGTAACTCTTCGTTTGTCAGTACCAATGAATCTAGTCGGCTTTACAATCTTCCCGGGGCTACAAGTATAGCCAGGTCCAGGAGCTTTGAGAGTGAAATTCTTAGGTACCCTAACTGTCTTATTTGTGGTTCCAGCTTGTCCAACAGTAAGCTGAAAAGCGGAAACAGCGGTTGCGGGATCTTGAGCCCACGAGTTGAGCACTCCTCCTCTGCAACAATTAGCAATCTGCTGATTGTAAGGAGTTCCGGGTAAGAGATCAACAACAGAAGGTGTCTTTTTACAGCAATGAGGAATGTTTCCTTTGAATTTCGAACAATCTCCTTGTTCAGTTGTTTGTCCTCCATTCATTCCCCATATAACCTCTCTCTTTGCCCATGACCATCCAAGAGTCCAACCTGGAGCTTGAATGTGTCGATACTGCTGGAAATTATACATCGTTACAGTCGCCTGCACCGCGGAAGAAATCCAAGATTTTAAAAAACACAATCAAGATTCAAGAAACTCTCAGTTTGGAAGCTAATGTATACATACCACATAGCCATCTCCAGTCCAGGTTATGATATCCCATTTGATAGTAATGTTCCCAGTCGGGTCCAAAGGATCATATGCTTCTGAAACAATCCCAAAAGTAACACCATGAGCACACAAATACAGAACAATGCTTTTTTTGTTTTCTTGTTTCAAAGATTCTCTCTTTCTATAATAACAGAGCATTGAAGCTGAAATGTCAAAAAGATCTTCTCTTTGAGGCTAAGAAGCTCCTTCAAAACCATTAAACGGCTTAACATACAAAGAACTTTCTTCTCTATTTCCATATGTACCCAAAAGCTCAAGCAATTCCAAAATCCAAACTTAAAGAACTCAATAAACACAAGCTCCTAGCAAATTTCAAAAAAGATAACTAAAACATGGGGAACGAAGAAGGAAGCCTTTTGTTCAGTTTAGAGCGAAACCCAGAAGCAAAGTTGCACTAAGACTCAGATACGAAATAAAACCCTAGATAGTAAATACGATAATGAACAGAGAAAAGCTTGAATAAAGATAGAATCTTTCATCTTACCTGAAGGAATATAACCAGAGAAAGAAACTAGAAAGATTATAGAGATTCCGAACTTGAAGAAGATTGAAGAAGAAGAACACAAGAAACCCATTTTCCTGAAGAAAGAAGAGAGAGAAACTGTTCTTCTTCTTTAATCTTAAGTCTCTGACAAGTGACAAGACAAGGATGAAGCTTGAAGAAGGTCGACGTAATTAAACAGTTAAAGCAAAAAGCTTAGGAGATCAAGCCAAGGTGATTAACAAACAATGAAAAGATTAATACAAACAAGAAATGACCAATTAGCTTCGAAATCTTTGTGATTAATCTTCAAAGTATAATGAGTTTTAAAAAACTCATAATTGTTCATTGAAAATGGAGAAATCCAGCTTTTTTGGGTTTTTGTGTGCAGAGAGATTAATGAAAGCTAAAAGAAGGCTGCTTTAGTGGGGGATGAGATGGTTTTTTTTGTGCCAAGTGTAATTATTTGACTTAATGCACAAGCATTAATGCACTTAGCTAGCATTTTTTTTTCAATTTCAAACATTCTTGTTCACATTTATTATTTTCCTTATTCGCATTTACTATTTAGTAATCCAAGGACTTTTTGAGAGTCTCTAGACAGTACTACTAGACAATTGGCGTTATTAAAGTGGGCCGATAAGGAAAGACTATTAAGCCCGTTTTAAGCCCATCCCATACAAGATACAACCATAATATCGTCTTGCATTCCTGGTGACAAAGTAAAGTTTATCAAAACAACAACAGGAATAATCAGTTTTGCAAAATCTCACAATCCTATCAAAATTGACAGTAGTACAACCAAACATGAGTTTACTTCTGCAGTTGAGATGGCTCATTTGCATCACTGTCTTCGCCCAAACCATGCTCATCATCACCATTGTGATCCTCATCTGATTCAGGTCCACTAGCATCATCATCATCATCACCATCATCATGGCCATGATCAGGTACACTACCATGACCAATAATCCGGCTAACTCTTCCCGACTTGTTTGCATATTCTTCAAGGGAAGTTGAGGGAAACACATCACCAACCTTGCTGCTATCACTCCTTGTCGCTTCTTCATCTGATTTGTTCGGTTTGTTATCTTTGTTCATCTGTGTCAAGCAAATACGCAACTTTAGGACCAATCACACAAAACATACACATTTACAAATCTCAAACACTCTTCAAAGAAAGATACAACTCTATCTGTTTGGAAACATACAGTATATAGTAAAAAAAGGTGTATAACTAGAGAAGCTTACAGCGCGTAATAGCGTCCTTCGATCCCTTTCCCTAGCATTCTTGATAGTCTGTATTACATTAATAAAAACTCAGTAAGAAACCCCAAGAGCTTCTTTTAAGCTTGAAATGGGATTTCACAAAGAAGAAGCAGACTAGACAACCAATGAACTAACCTCATCAAGCATCTTCTGCTCAGCTTCAACCTCGTAAATATCTCTGTGAGAAACAAATACCACTACATTAGCTTAAAATCTTATCTACCAAAGTCGCTCTAGAATAAGTAGAAGAAAGACTGTCTTCAATGTTTCAAGTACCTTCCAATGATTTGATCAACACGGGAACAACACTTTGCACACACCTTTTGCTCCTTGGCACAACCTATTAACAGTTTCATACTCAGTTCAATACTATAACACATCAACTTAAAAAACAAGACACTGATTTATTCGTTCTTCTTTGCCAATAAAGTAAGATAACAAAAGCAACGAACCGAAACACTAACCAGGGCATAACTTATGGTATGCTTGACGAACATTTCGCTTAGTACACTTCTGACTGCACCCAAAAACAAAAGGTTGCTCTTTTAAGAAAATTAACACAGACAACAAACAAATCAATTCGATTCAGATTTCAAGTTTCAACAGAGAATGAAAAAGAACACTCTAAATTCAAATCAAACGATACCATTTGGTGGCTTCAGTTAGGGTTTTGTATTTGCCGTATTTGCGTTTCCAAGCGATCTGCTCTCGACATCGATAACAAACTCCGGTAATCTCTGATAATGGTCTAAATCTCCCGCCGACTTCCTGAAAACCAAAAATTTCAGACAAAATCAAGGATCTAACCACACTATTCACTCAATTTTGTTAACCTCATAGCAGAGCAATTAGTTTACCGTCTCGTTGATCTTGACGCCGGCTTTAGGAACCCAGGCGAATTTGTTCTGATGCTTCGGTGGTCCCTGCCGTGAGCCCATTTTCTATGAGCTGTGAATTTAGATCGGAGAAAACAGAGGTAACGATTTTATCTGGAAGAAGAAGAAGAAGAAGCGAGCGGCGCGAAAAGAAGAAGGACTAGCCCAATTAGGTTTATTTTTTTTAACTATTACGTAAAACAAAAAGTAAAAAAAAAAAAAGTTCTTAAATGGAATATGTATTCTAATGGGCCAATCCATAAACTTTTAAAGCCCATGTAGCTCCAAATTTTTTGAGGTGTCAAAATGTCAATTGTCTTAGAAAAATATGTTTACGTTAATGTTCCATTGTTTAATTAATAAAGTGTGAGATCTAGCTATCATATTAATATGTTACTTATACTTATATATGAATATATGATAATGATTATAGGTTCACGTTCCATTAAGAATCTAACTAACTATTCACTCAAATTCGTTAATTTCATAGCAGAGCAAATAGTTTACCGTTTCGTTGATCTTGACGCCGGCTTTAGGAACCCAGGCGAATTTGTTCTGATGCTTCGGTGGTCCCTGCCGTGAGCCCATTTTCTATGAGCTGTGAATTTAGATCAGAGAAAACAGAGGAAACGATTTTTATCTGGAAGAAGAAGAAGAAGAAGCGAGCGGCGCGAAAAGAAGAAGGACCAGCCCAATTAGGTTTATTTTTTTTTACTATTACGTAAAACAAAAAGTAAAAAAAAAAAGTTCTTAAATGGAATGTGTTCTAATGGGCCAATCCATAAACTTTAAAAGCCCATGTATCTCCAAATTTTTGAGGTGTCGAAATGTCATTTGTCTTAGAAAAATATTTTTTACGTTAATGTTCCATTGTTTAACTAATAAAGTGTGAGATTTAGCTATCATATTAATATATTATACTTACGATAATGATTATAGGTTCACGTTCCATTTATCAAAAAAAAAGAAAGATGTTTTGTGGATTTTTCACGATGCATGCAATGATCATACGCAACGTGCTTCGACGAGCTCCCCACGACGTATAAAATCAAACTCCAATGATTTTTTTTTTTTTTTTTTTTTTTTGATAAACCCTATCGGCTGATCCGGTCGGCCTCGGTAGGAACGCACCGAGGTGCTACAGATTGGACTTCTCCCGATCCAGGTAGAATTGGGCCACCACACTGCCTGATCCGAGTTTGGAATGCCTTCCGACTAATGCCAGGGGGTAGTCAGGCCGCCTGCATTTCTGACTACCAGGTAAACCAATTGGGCCAAGGCCCAACTGACAGACTTCCCAAACAAATGTGTTTTTGTTTCCAGGGAGAATCGAACTCGGGTCTGGGAGTTTCACCCTTCACCAAAGCTTCCTCTGCCACTAGACCACAGAGGCTTGGGCAACTCCAATGATTTTTATTGTTATTAGATGTTAAAAACAAAATGAATTATCTTTTGTTGATAATATTTGTTATTTCGTGAAATGCACTGAAATTTTATCAAACCCAACATCTATTACTAATAAAAGGAGTTCATTGAGGCTTCTCAAGCTATCCACATCAGCATTTTTAAACTCTACTAGAGAGTGCCACATCAGCACACTTATGTTTTCAATTTGCATTATTCAATTCCAACTATGAGTTATTATTTGAACTAATAGTTAGCTAAATCTAAATTGACGTTACGAGATGCTTCCGAGTTGCGTTTAGTTTATGTAAGAAGAAAAACTGTTCTACTTCCTTCTCCTCTTCCTCATGACTCTCCATCGCCTTATTTTTTCCAGTTACCCACATCAATCTGCAAAACCAAAATCTATAATAATGGTTGAGATATATACAAGCTATTTTCTATAGAGTTATGATGTATGTTATCGATGCAGATTGAGGGTTTATCTACAAGAATGTGAAGCGATTGCAGGCCTTATACAGTTATACGGCTTGATTTCCAGTAACTTGAAGATAGACAGATTTAAATCTCATCTGAATATTCTCCAAAGAGATCTCAGATCGCACTCTTTAAACGATCAAAGGTATAACATCGAGAAATCCGTTGATCGAGCTGGAGACAGGTTTCTTGAGACGATGGTTCTACACAAAAAGATGAGGCTACAACGATGGTGCTAGAAATTTTGATTATGCAAATGCGATGAAGAACAATATGGAAAAGATGTATGTGATTGGGTTGTTAATTTGGTTTACTTTCTCTGTTATGTTTTAGTCCACAGAAGCGTTGAGGATGTATGAAAGTGGCGGGATCACGCATCAAGATGAGGCTGCTAGAAAAATAGTCGTTGATGCTACGTTACAACCGAATAAAACCAAACGAAGGTAGTGTTTTGGAACATCACCATTCTTCTTACTTCACTTTGTTGCTGTCTAGATTTGGAAGCATACAAGAGCAACAGAGGAAAAGTTTGTCAGAGTATACGGATCGGCCGAATGTATCCATTGTAACAAAGTGTTCCACAACGTGAAGTAAACAATTAGAATCGTCAGTTTGCAATTTATGATTTATTTATCAATTGGTGTCAAATATGTTGGCGTTTATTGTGAGTAACCATGGTTCCTTCACATAGTTAGTTTTATGAAACTTTGTATGCGTTGACTAAGAGATGATGATGAATATAAGAAGACATTCTTTGCAGAAACTCGAGAGGGTATTCCATTTAACAGTGTGTTTGATTTAGTTTATGATGGATGAAATTATTCTTTACCCAATCATGCAAGTTTCCCTTATTCTTAATAACATCGTCTTTTGCCTATTCTACATGTAGTTGAATCATCTACAAGTTGACATCATCCAACTAAAAGCATCCTACTTACGACCACGTTTTAATGGTATTCCCCTGTTTTTAACCAATGGTTCAATATTCCTAAACTCTACATCTAACCATATATTGTAACATAGGTGGGACTATTGCTCTCCAACATTTCTATCTTTGATATATGATCCAGCTATCTAACTTATTCACTTAAGGTATATGTCTAGCTTCTTCTCTTCCGAATATATGGTTCATGGTTGGGGCTTCGACTTTGCACTCACAATGTGCTGAGGTAAAATTAAGGAATGGAAAAAATATATATATGTGAGTTTAGTTAAGCAACAATGTAATGCTTTAGAAAGTGAATTCCAAGCCTTAATTATTTCGATGCAGAACTGTTGGAGCAAAGGCTACACGAGAGTTTGCTTTGAAGGTGACAATAAAGAGGTGGAAGAGTTACTCAATGGCAACAAACTCAACTTCGGTATGTTCAACTGGATCAGGGAAGTTCGTATATGGAGATCAAGATTCACAGATTGTCAATTTCGCTGGTGTCATCGAAGTAGTAATGTACCTGCAGATCTCTTAGCAAAGCACCAAATTCCTTTTAATTCAAGTTTTTATTTTCACAATTTGGTTCCTCATGTAATGACAAACGCGCTTCATAGCGATTTCTCAAACCTCATAATATAATCATCCATTTTGACGAAAAAAAAAAAAAAAAGCCAGCCCTATCTTCACTTTCTCTTTGCCATTGTAATAGTTGTTTTGTGCTATGACTCTAAAACTTCGTGTGACTCTGTCCTTCTTATATTAAGCTTTTCTAAAAAAAAATTTTGAACAGATATAAAGGCCGTCGTTACGTCTTCTTACACATGTATCTCTAAATGGTATAGGGTGCTAATATGAACATCGAACCCCCTTCCATAGTTTCTCTTACTTTATGTAGTTTTAGTCGTGTATGAGTTGTTTGACAAAAAAAAAAAGCAAAGAAAGTCATGTATGAGTTAAACATGACAAATCCTTACAGTAATATCACTTCTAAATTGCAGGTCCTCGAAGAATGGGAAAATAAATTACAAGATGTATATGGATGAGAAATGTATTATATAGACACAATTAAACAATTAACAGTACCATATAGGTTTGTAAGTTAAAATATTAAATACAACATCATCTATTTCTGGTCACATAATTAGAAAATTTTTAAAACTAAATCGAAGTTACTTAACTTCAAAATATATCAATTATCAAAATTACCCGGGCGTAGCCCGGATTTTCCCCTAGTATAATATAAAGAATGTAGTTACCAGTGATTATTCGTGGTTTCTTTTATCGTCAATGTACTAATTCGTATATTGTATATTATATTTAGCATATTATTGTATATACGAACTTCTGCCAATAACTATAAGGAATGTTTAAATTTAAATAAATTTAAGATTCAGCTTCCCACATGCGAATGTTCCTTCGTTACATAGTAAAGTGGATCGAGGACAGTTTTTAATTCATTATTCCCGTTAGTAAATGTCTAATTACATTCTCTAATTAACACCTTTATTGATGTTACACTCCGGTCAAAAAGTATTCAATTATTGTTCGGTTTTTGTATCCCCCATCTTTTAATTCTCACAGACGACTTTTTTAGTTTGTTAAAAACGCACACACAAGAATTTAGGTACATTTATGGTAATGTAACTAATTTAAGTAAAAAAAAATTTTGCTAGCTGAAAGATCTCTCCTTCAAAAGGTTGGCTAGACCGGCCAAAATAAAAAAAGAGGTTAGCTAGACCTACTGTTCTAAACTGTTCAATTTCCTCTAAGTCTAAAACTAATATAAGTAGAAAAAAAATTATTTAAACGAGCAAGAAACACAACTTTTTAACTTATTTAAGCCTCAAAAGTTAAACCAAAACAAAATTCACAATTATACTATTAACAATAAATGATCAAATCTGAGGTTTTGTATTTTTGTTGGTCAACATACAAAAATTTTTAGAAACAAAATTATTTTGAATCTTTTTCACCTTTTAATTAACCAAAATAAGTTAGTTTCTAAAATGCAAATCTCTTGACAACAATTTTTTTTATTTTCTGTTGACTACAATTTATATAACCAAAAGTGTGATTGAAACAGATAAATCCATATTCGTTCGTAGGTATATCTGATAAGTTAATATAATAATTAAACAATGTTATCAAAAGTATGGATATTCTTCAAAAGTATCTGTTTAAAAAGATTCATATTTTTTTTGTTGTGTGGAGATAAATATCTACAATATAATATCCTCTAGAAGATATTATAAGCTTCTATTTTTACGGGAAATTAATTAACTAATGTTTTCTAAACCAATAAGACAAATTATTAATAGGAAAAACCAATTTTAATGCTAAGTCCGAATAAAAAGATATTTGCTTCCGCAAAGAAAACGGACAATTAAGAGACAAAATAGTAAAGTCTTCACTTCCTCACCATAACAAGGTTAAAAATTCTTTTGACCTGGTGAACGACTTATAATCCACCACGTGTCAAACCTCACACAAATACCTCACACGTGCCAACTACTATAAAATCCAAAGCGACGGTCTTCACAGTCTCCCATCACCTCCGATCTCAAATCTCACATCTTTTCTCTCCAAATTCTCTTCTCTCTGAAAATCAATCAATCATGGTTGAGCCGGCGAATACCGTTGGAATTCCGGTGAATCACATTCCACTGTTGAAGGATGAGCTCGATATCGTGATCCCCACGATCCGTAACCTCGATTTCCTGGAGATGTGGAGGCCTTTTCTTCAGCCTTACCATCTGATTATCGTCCAAGATGGAGATCCATCGAAGACCATTGCTGTCCCTGAAGGCTTCGATTACGAACTCTACAACAGGAACGACATCAACCGTATCCTTGGTCCTAAAGCTTCCTGCATTTCCTTCAAGGACTCTGCTTGCCGTTGCTTCGGCTACATGGTCTCCAAGAAGAAGTACATCTTCACTATTGACGACGATTGCTTCGTAAGTTTTTCTCAATTCTGTTTATAGATCTGTTTTTGTTTCTTCATATATAGGTTTAGTTTTCGAGATCTAGTGATAAAGTCTGTGGATTTAACAGATCTTTGAATTGAAAATTGATAATTGGATTCCAATTATTTAGGTCAACTTGAGAGAAAACACTGTTTTGCCCTAGATCTATATATTCATATGCCTGATGGTTTTCGATCTGTTTTCAAAATTGAAATTGTATTAGTCTTATGTTTGTCGGCATTGTCATGATCTCTTATGTTAAAGTAGTCTTAGTGGTGTCATTGTTGTTGGACCAACCTATCTATGTTATGTCTTAACAGTTAACTTCACAAGATTCTTGCATGTCATTGTCCTGCACATTTATGTTGTTGTCATAAGGCTAAGGCAAAGAAAAGTCTAAACTTTATTTCCCCTCTTTAGGGATTTGTGGGTTTTTTTTTTTTTTAAGAATTGAGTTTTTCAGTTACGCCATGATTGTAGCATTGATGTTGCTTTCATAATGTGTTGGTTTAATCATGTGTAACGTATTGTTCCTCATGGTCTTTTATTTTTCGTATTTTTGCTAGCTTTAGATGCATTTGAATATTATTTTCTTAGAATTTAAATATTATTTTGTTGTTGTTGTCATGTATTATAGGTTGCTAAGGATCCATCTGGAAAAGCTGTGAACGCTCTTGAGCAACACATCAAGAACCTTCTCTGCCCATCAACTCCATTTTTCTTCAACACCTTGTACGACCCATACCGTGAAGGTGCTGACTTCGTCCGTGGATACCCTTTCAGTCTCCGTGAGGGTGTTTCCACCGCTGTTTCCCACGGTCTGTGGCTCAACATCCCTGATTACGATGCCCCTACCCAACTTGTGAAGCCTAAGGAAAGGAACACAAGGTAGTATTTTAACATCTTCTTTCTACAGTTTTTTCCGGTTTTTGTTAGCTAACAATGCTTAAATTGCTTCACTATTAGGTATGTGGATGCTGTCATGACCATCCCAAAGGGAACACTCTTCCCTATGTGTGGCATGAACTTGGCCTTTGACCGTGAGCTCATTGGTCCGGCTATGTACTTTGGTCTCATGGGTGATGGTCAGCCTATTGGTCGCTACGACGATATGTGGGCTGGATGGTGTATCAAGGTACTTGCTTTCCCCATTCGGCTCCTTACTTTAACGTATTTAAAGGTTATATGTTTACTGACCTCACTCTTATGGTTCTGTTCTTCAGGTGATCTGTGACCATTTGGGATTGGGAGTGAAGACAGGTTTGCCCTACATTTACCACAGCAAAGCGAGCAACCCGTTTGTGAACTTGAAGAAGGAGTACAAGGGAATCTTCTGGCAGGAGGATATCATTCCTTTCTTCCAGAGCGCAAAGCTCACGAAAGAAGCTGTGACAGTTCAACAATGCTACATGGAGCTATCCAAGTTGGTGAAGGAGAAGCTAAGCCCCATTGATCCTTACTTTGACAAGCTTGCAGACGCTATGGTCACCTGGATTGAAGCTTGGGATGAGCTTAACCCACCCACTAAAGCTTGAGCACCAAAAAACCACCACCGCAGTTTTGGTTATTAGCTTAACCTATCATCTATCTTCTCTGTTTTGTTTTTGTTTTATCTTTTCTCAATTTTCCGGCGATTATTCAGTTCGTTTTTAAGTCGCCGGAGTTTATTCAAATAGTGATGGTGTAGTTCTATTTATGACCGAGACAATCTCTCCTTTGAGGTTTTTCGTTTTTGTTTCAATAATAAAAATCATATATCCCTTAGTCTTTGGTGTCTTTTGCTTGCTGGTTTGTTGACTGTTATTTTGGATCAATAGTTAAAAGACAGGAAACAGATTCCACTCAAATCAAGCCTTAAACATATTTGATTTAGTTGAACCCAGTTGGTGTTTTGCTGCATCCGACATGTTATTGAAAAAATGAAAAGACCCCAACATCATTATTAAAAGAATCTTGGAAAACAGATGATGAAAACAGTCCTTTGACACAAAAGTGGAGGACTTTACTGAGTATGCACTATAACCGACATCCTCTTGTATTGTAATTTGGTTCTTACTAGTCTTTAACTTAAGACACATAACTTCAAGACCTCTCAGGTTTAGGAACCCCAAGATCCACCCTAGCAAGCTAGATTAGAGGTTGATGGTTGATTGTCTGGTCGCTGATCCATGAGCTTGACAATAAGGTCTACTGGCATCTCGATTTTGAGGTTATAATCTGACATAAGTTCGAATATGTCTCTCAATTTCCCCCAGTCTTTGTCTTCAGCCTAAAGAAGCAAAAAGGAAAACATATATTGATGATGTCTCTCAATCACTACACCTGACACGCCAATAATGACAACATATGACACGCCAATATGTCTCTCAAGTATTGTTAACCTGGGATTTGGTTCTTAAGTCAGCGATCTCTTTTCTCAAGAGATGTAAAGGATATAAGCTTTTAAGCTTAAAGAAACATATAAGCCGAACTGCGGGAATATACTGGTATGTATCGATAAGCACTTCAACAAACTCTGCATATATAAATAAAACCTTTACCTTTCTTTATGTATCTATATTCTATAAGATGAGAAGAAGAGTGATGACGATGTGATGGATACAAAAACTAACCTGAGATCACATTGTCGAGACCAAGTGATTTGAAGAGTGTTGGAGCCTCTTTGTAATGAGAAACAGAGGAGGCAAGTTGAGCAGTCTCATCTTGATTGGTGACTAAATTCTGCAATTTATATGTCACAATGAATTGCAGAAAACCCAACACCGTACCTCGAGGGAGGATGATCTTGGAGTTTCAATTCTTATCTTCCCTTTCCATAGAATTGCCAGCTCTTGGGCCTTAGTGTCAATGTGATCAGGCTTAACAGGCAGGTTCTTCATATTATTCTTATTCAAGTCATGGATACGTTTCCAGCGCTGCTTCTCCGCGTCACGAACCTCATTCATAGTTTTCGCCACTCTCTTTTGGAGTTCTTTCAATCTTCTGGATTTCTCAGTGATGTAAACCTCGGCGAAAGGATCCTCCTGCTTTGTCCTCCTCTTATTAGAGGATTCCTCAACATCATCTTTTCTCCTTTTTTTGGCTGCACCAATCTCTTGATCTGGTTCAACCTTGGGGAAGAGTGTTTGAGCCTTGGTAACAAATTTCTGAGCTCCAGCCCTCATTTTTTCCTCTGCTAAAATTTTCGCACTCGAAACACAAACCTGTCAAGTAACCAATAAACTCATAAACCCTAAAGGTTCCTAATGCTAAACCGTCACACTAAGACTATACTTAGTGCTTAACTTTTCAGAGACAAGAATAGTGAGATCTGTGAAACAATGCATGATTACATCAGTGTCAAGAAACAAAATCCACCACAGAGACCATAAATGAAAGCATTTTTTTGGGCACAATTCCGAAGAAATTACCATACTGTAGTGTGAAAATGAAGCGCTAGAGAAGTCTGAAACGGAAACAAAGATAAAACTAGGGTTCTTCGTTGGTACCTTAGAATACAGGCATTGGTTGGATAAAGCTAGGGTTTCCGTCTACCTCTGGAATTGGCGCTCGCTGAAGAATCCTAGCCGTTGTTGTAAGTTTGTAACTGCGAAAGGCTGAGTTGCTTAATGGGCTTCTTCCGAAGAGGGAGACCCATTGGGCTTTAATACATCTAAGGATTAAAGTCAAACACGTATTTTCCCTCGGAAAGACTTTTTAACATTAGTTTTTATACTGAAAATTGGCAAGTAGCTCTGATGATGTGGTGCTAATCAGCTTCAAAATGGACAGATAGATGCAGCTCATGAAAAATAATAATTGCTTTTGACTTTTTTTTTTTTTGTTTTCTAATTACTTACTAGTGGCACCGGTAAAAATTTATCACTATACATTCGGTTTGTGATAATATATGATATTTTGATATTTTGTAATAAAAATTACTAATTTTTTTATATAATACAATTCATTCAAAATAATGGCTGAACCGAATTAAAACATGTTTGTCAGTCGCATACGTATGGAACTTTTCTTGCCTCTCATCCACTTGCCTCTGAAAATGATGCTATAACTCGGATTAAAAGATTGAATATATATAAATATAACAATGAAGAGAAGTGTATAGGATTCATTTTCTTTTATTCAGCTCAGAGACGTCTTTGACCAACGATTCCTTGATGGGGCTGGAGACATCCATGTAGCTGGCTGGTTGTTGGAGTTGCAAAGAAATAACTAGCACTGACTTTTTCTTTGTTTTTAGTGGACACTTGCTTGTTTTTATTTATATAGTTCCGGTTAATTGATGTAATTTTTAACATAATTGAGTACTGAATTTATACTTATCATTGGCAAGTAGTTGATATATAATTTGGTGCTAATGATCATCTAAAAATAGACAGAGAGATGGAAAATAATAATTATTGCTTTTGACTTTTTGTTTCACCATAGCATTTAACTTATATATTTTTTTGGTAAGGAGCATTTAACTTATTTTAGAGAGAATATTTCATCAGTGAATAAATTAGGGAAAAATGTCGTTTTATCTCCCAACTTTCAAAAAGTGGCCAATCAATACGTCAACTTCATATGTGGCCATTTAAAACATGAAATAAACGTTGACTAACGCTTGAGACATGAAAATTCGTTGACCAGGCCAAAATAGACATACCGTTATCAATCGTTAACGGAACCTCTAACGCCCGTTATCACCCGTAACGACTCTGTTAATCAACTTTCAAATTGTGGTCATTTTAAACATCAACTTCATATGTGGCCATTTAAAACATGAACTAATCGTTGACTAACATTTGAAACATTAGAATTCGTTGACCAGGCCAAAATAGACATGTCGTCATCATTCGTTAAAAGAACCTATAACATCCGTTATCACCCGTTAACGACTCTGTTAGTATGTCCAAAACGACTTCGTTTTGAGGATAATCGAGAGAATTCTAATGTTATAGGTTCTGTTAACGAATGATGATTAGCACTGCTCATTAGACATCCGGTTTGTGATAAAATATGATTTTTTTTTTTTAATACCAAACCAAATTTATAGCTGTTGACTTTGATTTTTTATTTCTATATATACACACACATATCACATCCACCGTATACGATATTCACTCACATAGGAATTCAAAACCGTAAAGAAGTATCTTCCTTTTGGGATCTTCCGGAAGATTAATTAGAGATGAATAAGTGGAGTTATGCGAAGTTAATGACCTCAGCTTTATTGTTTCTCTTCTTAATTATTCAGCATGTTCATGTGGCCATCGGGACTAAGGATATCTCGATGGGACAAAAGGTACGTATATACAACAACTAAGAGTATTTTTACTACTTCAACAATCACGTATTTTGTTCTTAATGTTGTGTGTATCCATATATACAATATTTTCCTATGTGATGTCATGATTTATTTTTTCACCTGCAGTTAAAACATTCGATGAAACCAAAAACTGAATCGTTGAAAATGATCAATCCAAAAAAGAAGAACGGGTTTGAGTATTCAGATCAAGTATCTAGTGATTTATCCAGAAGAGAAGTATTTGTCGATATGATGGCTAGTGACTACGGAGGCCAAAGAACCAGAAAGCCCCCCAAACACAACTGACGGCTGCGTGGTTGTCATTTGATAATTAAGTGTCACGTTAAAGTTAATTTACTAATTAACTTTGTAAAATAAACGAACGAAAAGTTCTATTATGATGTTTTATACTGTATTCAATGACTGATCATATCATATAAGTACTTTAAATGTTTCTAAGGTTTGACTGTACATATATACAACTATTCACATCGGAAAGATTACATATGAAATGATGCAACGAATGTGAATAACATATTTTTCTAATTCTAAAGTGGCATTCACACCAACAAGGCCACAAGGATTGAATCGGAGGACCCGCCCTCGTGTCTCAAAAAGAATATAGTACTTCGTACAAATTTAATTAAATATTGTACAAACTAGGCATTTTTAGCAAATCAATGCTCAAAAGATTTTTGGAACTACAAAAGTAGAGACTTTATTTAGAAACCCTAAGCAGTAACCAAAGATTAATATTAGCTTAAACTCCAATGTTACTTTAGGGCACTTAAACTCATGAAAACTTCCCCATGCCTCCTTGAGTTCTTCAAGAAAAATCTTTGTCTTTTAATTTATACTCTTTGTCGGTAGTCGGTACCGACTTTCTTCTGGATTTACTAGTTTAGGTTCTTTATTTTTCGCTTCCCCATCTAAATATACGATATTCTTTAAATAATTTTACATACTTCATTCTTATATATAAAAACGGTTTGTTAATTACGTTTTATATACCATTTGAATAAGTTTTTAATGTAATTCGTATTATATATTCTATATCTCTGCAATGAAAGATAGCATCGTCTATATTATGATTGAGATAGAGCTGCGACACAATCGTAAGACTACGGAATTTTTTTAATAAACAAAGTTTTGAAATTAGATACTAACTTAGGGAATTATTTGTAAATGATAGCAGAAAAATGGAATATTAATTGTTTAGTTCGTTAACTTTTATAATTTGTTTTACTAATCTTCCAAATGTTGTTGCTGGAAAGATTTTTTTTATTTATAGGCTAGTGTTTACAATTACCGATGAGGAGAAGTATCTTTTTGTCTTGCCTATGGAACTGTTGGAAAACCCTAGCTTTCACTTTTTCGGATTTCAGAAAAATCTTCTACCCTTATATATATGAGCTTCACTCACATCAACTAACATCCTAATTAATCACTTCCTTAATATTGACAAAGACAAAAAAAGATGAAGAACACAAAAGCAAAGTTGATAACACTCGTTCTAGGGTTTCTCTTCCTCATGATGATGATGATCATGAACTTTCCTCATGCGCTTCAAGGTTCGTACATTGACAAAACTCTTAGGTTTCTATTTATCTTTTCTTAGTGATCTTCTGAGTTAGATGATAATAATGATTATATATAAACTCTTCCTTTTGATGATGATGACGATGATATATATGCCGTAGTTTTGTGTGTGTCTTGTCGATATACCTAGACGTATAACGTTGTAAATATGTGAAGCTGATGTTGTACTTGAAATCTTATAAGTGGAAATATAGATGTAGGTGGATCCAAATATGAAGATTATGGTCTAATAGCGAGCGGACGTGAACATCTCTTGATGGGACGAAAGGTACACAAATCATCTTTTTATTACTTTGTGTTATCGTTAATTCCTCTAGAGTTTAAATACGGGATACTATAGTGACATAATCTGGATGTTTACTCTGAATAACTATACAAATAGAAGTGAAGAAGATTCATATAATTAGCATATTTTTCTTATAGATAATCATATATATATTTTATCGCAGATAAAAAGTTTAAAACCAATCAACTCTGAAACAAAGAAAAGATCAAGAAAAGGCTTAGTCTCGACAGATTCAGCAAGGGAAATCGATAATCTAATGAGAAGTGACTATCCTTCACGCATGAAAGGGAGGAAAAGGACTCCAATTCATAATTGATCGCATATCCTCATTAACTAGTTTTCTTTTTTTTAATCATAAGTAGTTGAAGAAACTTAATGTTTTGGTTAACAGTTTAATTAATATATGTGAGAAGAAGATGATATAGGTCTACATAAATGTATGTGTACAAAAATAAGGTTTTGCTACTTTGTTTTTTTTGTTTGCTTCAATCAATGTATTCTTACTAATTAGGCTTATATATACATTACAAATGGTAACAAATTCCAATAATGTTTTCAAAATTACAAACGCAAACAAATTCCAATAATGTTTTTGAGTTGTGTGTTCGTATTTATAATTTTGTACCATGAAGACCTCTCAATATCATCAGCTTCTTTAAGGGAATTGTCGTATTGATTTCAATCTTCCAACGGCTATATTGATTTCTGAGGAGATAGCGATGGCCGATGGATGAGACGGGAATAACAATCACGACAAAAGCCTCGGGACCAAAGGATAAAGAATTCGATATCAAGGACCTTTATTGTAATAACAAGAAATAAACTTCTTTATTATTTATGGCTTTTCTTTTCTCATTCAGCCGAATTAAATTTATTCAAAGATTCAATGATTTCAAGGAATCGTGAAAACGTACATTAATTTTTCTTTTGTAAAAAATAGTAATGTGAGTATGTATGTGACTGTGACCCTAGTTAAAGGACTAGATTTTTCTTAAATTTCTATTTTAAGGTTATATATTTTTTTGACAATCTAAATTTAATTTATTCAATAGTGGCAAGAGAATAATTATTTATTTTGTCAAATAATAATAATAATGTGTGACATAATTTTACACTGCATTTTTTATTTTATTCTTTAGCTACCAAAACTGCAAGGCCATGGATGATGATGATGGTGCCAAAAGACAAATTTGCAAACATGACCATGAAAGCTTCAACCTTTCTTCTGCATCCACTGAAGCTCTTCAGACATCTCTGTACACCAAAGAACCCTAAATAACTTCTCATCTGTTTAAGAAACCCAATCTTCAAGATGGATATATCATCCCCCATTAGACAACCCCATCCATGTCCTGCATCACCCCATTAAAGACAACAATGGAGGATCTGTTCATATTGTTTCTTCTAGTGAATTGCCATTATTCTCATGTAATAGCTGAAGACATTCATATGGATTGGCATAGAAGTAGTCTTCTTCTTTCGGTCTATTTGGAATCACAAGCCGTCTCTTTGGCCCTCCCATTCGTGTAGCGTGAAAGGCCTTAACCGTAGTTGAAAACACTTCCCAGCTCAACAATCCTTCATAGTATTCATCTATTAGCTTAACCAAGAGCTTCCGGTTTAGCTCAATCGTCTTCTTGAACCCCAAGAATCTGTATGTGATTTAAGTGCATTAGCTTTTGAATGAAAGAACCACTACGTTTTCTTTAGATTAGAAAAGTTACAATGAATGATTCACCTGCGATGACCTTCCACGACTTTCGCCATGTTCCCATAATATGTAGGAACAAATATATCACTTTCGAGAGAAATAAGGTAATCAAGAGCAGCCATTTGAGAAGAATGGTTCTGGCAAAAACTCAAATCAGAGGAATCTAGTAGAGTTTCTTTCCTCACCTGGTTTGATCAAAATATTATTGGTTACTGAATTTTGAGTGAAAGATTAAGGAATTGGGAATTTTAGAAAATATATACTAACCACATTTGGAAAAACATCTGTTAAAGCCTTTAACCGCCTTTTACCACCGTATATTTCTCCGGCAGCTATGTAAATCTGAACATTACGGTCAATACCCAATGCAGATAGCGTAAGAGCTGTTTCTTCAGGAGTCAATGGGCAAAGACCTTCTTTCCTCTTCAACTCGGAGTCTATTACTTTCTCTTTCCACCACGGATAAGCATATCTAAGCAATGAAACAAAATGATTACATCAATATCACAAACCAAAAGTCGGAACTTTTAATATAAGTAGAGGGTTGTTTTAACCTCATTCTCGTTAGTTCTTCCTCTTCGTAGCGGTTACAACCATGTGAGCAACCAGAAAATGCCAACATATCCATTTCGTATCGGAGATGCAGAACTAGAAAGGGACCTTTCTCCCTGAGAATCTTGACTACTCTTCTACCCAATTCCTCAATCTTCGGAGTAAACCTAAGGCCGTTGAAATTTGCTCGGCATCGCAGCTTCTGAATCTCAACAGGCAGTTCGTTATTAGCAAGTCGAGTATCGGTCTTGTTCAGATGTACGACCTTATGCTTCTTCACCAGCGGAAGAATCTGTTTGCAAGGATTAGGTACAAAGAAGCTGTGAGAAACCAATAAAGTAAATTGAAGACTCATCTCATAAAAGACTAATGTTGAATTCTTGGTGTAACCGAGAAAATAACCTGGTCTTGGTAGTAGGACATGTTGGACCAGCTAATAGGAGGCATGGTGTGGTACATCCCGAGCCTAACCCTTCTCTTAAGCCTTGGAGGAAGCTCTTTGAGTATACGAACCTCATCTCTTAAAGAACTTATGAAGTGATCCACGTCGAATATGTCTTTGAACTCACTGCCCACATGAAAATCCAATCAAGAAAGGTTATCAATTAAGTAAAAGAAGAGATCCGTACTAAGCTCTGAGTGAGATGGATGGCATAAAACCTTGGATCATTCCAAAACGAGGTCTTGTCAAGCTCTGGCACAATAAGTGTGACATTCATGTATCTTGCAATAGTGACCATATCACATATCTGAAGAAAGAAAACAGAGTCCAAAAGTCACATAAACTTTGAGAAATGCGAAGAGATTTCTGTACGAAAGCAAGAGGATTAGTTCTGAACTTACCGCTGCTCGCATTTGGTTGAGTCCTCCATTGCAAGAAACCATAAGATAGCCATTGTTCTGATATATCCCTGAGATGAAGAAAGAGCACAAAAAAGCATTAAAATTCCAGACAAAACTTAACATTCTCAGATTGTTGCAGCTAAGCTAAATAAGACACTTACTTTTAGGGGGGAAGGCGGTTTTCATGGGAAGAGAAGCCATTTCTGCAGCCATTGGTAAATCATGGTGATTGAAACAAGAAGGCCAGCCTTTCAACAATCTAGGTCCCCACATCTCTCCCATAGCAACCAAATGAACAAAGCAACTCCAGAGCAACAATACCGTCATAGCCCGAATCATCCATAAGCTCATACGAGACCTCAAAACCAAAGAGTTCTTAAACTTATCAATCTTACTATCTCCTAGAAACTTAACCTTCATCTCCCAGAGTTTCCTGTGGTATAGAAACTTGTCCGCTTTACACATTTTCTAAAACTCTCCACAGGGGAATATCATCAAACAGATTCCAGACTTAACTCTACAAAGACGAATCAAATCCACAGAGAGTCTTCCGCAGATAAGAACCTCTCTCTCTCTCTCTCTCTCTGATGCACTAATGATTCTAAATTTATTAACACTCAGAAAAATGTAATCTTCACGCAAAAACAGGGAATTCTCTCAGGAACATTTATTACTCCTCGAAGAAATCCAGATTCTCGCTCAAGTCAACCACAAATTTCGCCGCTTAATAATCAATTAAAAAAAAAAAAAATCAAAGATAAGAACCTTCCATATCCGACAACTCTAAACCCATCACACAGCAAAACCCAGAAATCAGACAGATCCTTAATTCGATGTAGATAGACTTGGAAGCTAAACTCTCCAAATTACAATGCAATGACGATCCTTTAGACCAAGTAAGCAATATTGAAGAAGAAAGAAAGGAGGAAGCTTTGGAGAATGCTTGTTGAGTTTGTTAACGAGAGATTCTTCGTCCAGATCCGGTCGGTGATCACCAAAGATTCCGGAAGCTCGCAGAGAGAAATTGGGAAGAAAGAAGAAGATCAGGACAAGAATGTGCAAAAGATAATCAAAAGATCAATATGACAAATGAACTGTCTTTTTTTTTTTTTTGTCGGTAGTCTTTTTTTTCTGACCGTTTTTGTTAACCTTTTCTGTGTAAGACAGTTGGAAATTGGAACCCATTGTTATATAGCTTTATTGATATATATGTACTGATAAAAATAAATCTCTCTAAAAGAAACGAAATCTTAAAAAAAAATAACACGGAT